TCATCAGGGCTGCAGCCGGCCACCCAGGAGTTGGGCCGTGTGACAGGAGGTGTCAGAGGTCGCTGGAGTGACTGCGGGAAGGGCTGGGGGTGGGGGGCTCGCCTGGACTGGAGGCTGCACGGCTGATGTCCATGTGTCCTCTGGCTCTCGTGTGTTTTAGGGAGAAGCTGTCCCACACTTACCTGTGAGCATTGGGGACAGAAAAGGACAGGGGACTTGACGACTTGATGGGAAGAGCACCTGGTGCCCTGGCCACGTGGCCCCGGGCCAGCCTCTCTGCCGAGCAGTAGCTACCCTGTCCACCTAACAGATGCCACTGCTAGACCCTCTGTGTCCCAGAGTCCCAGCAGGAGCCCTGTGTGTGAGTGCCAGTGTTGGGACAGGGTGGCTGTCCCCATGAGGTCCCACAGGGGGAGGAGACAATGGGCTGCAGCTGCGGTCAGGGAATCTATGGCAGGTGAGGCACCGTGTAGATCTGGTCAGGCACTCGCCCAGAGCCTGGTGGCCCAGTGCAGAGTTACTGCAGCCCCTGTGGTGCGGGCCACTCCGGGATGAGCCCAGTCCCAGCCCTGCTTTTGCAAATGGGCACTGGGGCATTCGTGGGAGATGCTGGCATGTTGATAGGGCATTGGCCCTGGGGCTGTGCTGGGCAAGCTCTGCCCGGGGAGCTGTCCGCCAGGAGCCCTCGGGGCTGCCCCGCAGGAAGCGAATCCAGCATCGTCTACCTGGCTTGTCGGTCAGCGGCTGGAGGCAGAGCTGCGGTCCCCGGCAAGGGTGGCTTGCATGTCCATCTCCTGCTCTGTGAGGGCAGGGCCTCCCAGTGTGGGGCTCAGTCCAAGCACCAGCGGTCCTCAGCATGTGTGGGCCACTTGTGATGGAGGCCGGCTGGGCACCAAGGGCAGCAGTGGCGTGCGATGCCCCACTCTTCTCCATTCCCGCAGTTCCCATGTGGTGGCCACGGCTCACAGCTCTGAGGGATTGTGCCTTCTGTCCCCGACAGGGCCAAGTCTGGCAGCCGGCTCCTCCCTCTGTGCCTGGAGCTGCTGCTCCTACAGCCCCCCACCCCACCAGCTGGTTGCTGACCCCAAGTTCCAGGGTGGGCCTGGGCAGCAGAGAACACGGCTCAGCCTTCTCTGAGGAGCTGTTTGGAGTCCACCTACCAGAGCATGCTCAGTATTTCCAGGACGGTGGCCCCATGGCCCACATGGCTGTGTCACATTGAGCATGCCTGGGGATTCCACAGTGTGTCCTGCGTTTAAGAGCCCTTCACCCAGTCTCCGCACAGCGGAGAGACCTGGCCTGGAAAGAGCCCACCACCTGCTTCACCGCTCGCCAGCCTGGGCTCGGGCGTCCCTCCTGTGACCTCCAAGTCAAGGTCAGAATTTGGGCCCGGGATTGTGGCTGAACCTTCAGCAAGTTGGCTTGTCAGTGTGTGGTTGGGAGATGGGTCTTCTCTTACCCCAAACCAAAGCATTGCAAATGCTGGCAAGCTCCACGGGGCTCGGGAGCCATGTGTAGGCAATGCAAGGACATGCGTGTGACACCAGCCAGTGGCTTGCAAGCCCACACGGGCATTCTCCTGCACAGGAAGCCCCTGCGGCCACACCTGCTGCGCCCCACAGGCCTGTCCCAGACCCCATGCCCCTGTGGGGGAGCCGTGCTCAAGGCTGCCCTGGCAGAATCCCAGGAGATTTCACAGAAATGGACATAGCTGGCTTGCTGATTAAGCAGTGGCTTTCCCACTGGAGGCTGTGAGGAGGCTCCTCGTGTCCCAAAGACCCGGATGCAGCCTCCCCATCCCCGAATCCTTGCTGGGCATGGCGTGGCTGGTGTTCACTGAGGGCAGAACCCAAGCTGGAGGCACAGCACTCACTCTCAAGCGCCCCTGTCCCCGGCAGGGCAGTGGCCGGCACGGAAGGGACCACGTCCAGGTCAGAGCTCCTTCCCGTGCCCTGCCCTGTTGGCCCTGCCCCCGCAGTGGGCAAAGGACGGGCTGCAGGTTCCAGCCTCAGGGTCGGCTGGTCCACCTCAAGGTGCCGTTGGGACCCTGTGCTTCTGCCGACTAGGGCCCATGAGTCACTCACAGGCGCTGCCAGGGCACCAGTGGGCCCCTGAGAACAGGGGCTGTGTTCCCAGCCAGATGCCGCCCACCACACAGCCTCCATTCCACGGCCAGCTGGTCCCCACCAACCCCCAGGGGTGAGCCTGTGGATACAGGAGACACCCGCCCGTATGAAGGCCGGGGTCGGCACTCGAGGGCAGGGAGTGGACAGTTCCCCCCCAACACACACTAAGGATGGGGCCACCTCAAGGCCTGGACCCACCCCAGGGCCTCACGTCTCATGCCCTCTTACCGCCCAGCTATACCATCCTGTGCTTACTTGGCACCAAGGATGTTAGGTCATCCTCCCCACCCTGCCCCAGCCTCCGGCTGTCCTGGGCTCCTACAATCAGATCAGATGTTTCCCTGGCCAGGAGAGGCCAGGCCATGCCCCGCACGCACGGGGCCAGAGCCTCTGCTCTGGTTTGTCGTGGATGCCTTGCAGGGACCTCCTCTTTCCAGCTCCCGGTGCCCTGTGGAGGATCCCAGAGCTGTGCCCAGAGCCTGCCTCTGCCCACCGCCAGGAGGAAAGCCAGGTCTGCTGCCTGGGGGTGGGTCGGGGGCTCCCACAGAACAAAACCTACCTAGGGAGGGAGCCAACGCCTTCAGATTTGTATTTCCTCGGGGCTGAGGGGAAGGCTGCAGGTCTCTGACATGTTCGGCCACAGCACTCACCCCTGGTCCTTCTCCATGGTCAGGGCTGGAGAAAGGAGAGGCAAAGATGGAGAAAAATGTTGGGGGGAGATTGAGGTAGGGAGAGGCTGCAGTGGTGCTGTGGGATGAGGCTGCTACTCCTGCCAGGACCAGCAGGAGGCAGTGCACGCACAGGGTGACCAGCCCCAGGCCTGAGGCCAGAACCACAGCCTTCTTCCTGGTTAGGGCTTTCAAATGCTAGGGCCAGCAGGTACACACACCTGTATCCTGCAGACAACACCTGTATCCTGCAGACACACACCTGAGGTCCTATAGATACACACCTGTATCCTGCAGACACACACCTGGATCCTGCAGACACACACCTGGATCCTGCAGACACACACCTGGGATAATATAGACACACACCTGGGATCCTGCACACACCCCTGGATCCTGCAGAGGAGTCACTGGTAATGGCTCCACAATTGGGTCCCTCTCTCCCTTGGGGAGGTTGAAATGAAGTCTCGCCTTTGGATGCCGGCCAACCCCGCTTGGTGCCGTGGCCGTTGCGGAGCAGCTCCTGTGACGGGCTCGCTTCCTGTCTCTTCCATGCAGACAGATAATCACCCCTACGATGTCACCCAGGTCTGACAAGCGTCCTAGCCCTGAGACCTGCAGAGCCCAGTTCATGAGGGCTTTGGAGGTCACTGTGGGAACCCCAGCTGCTCTCCAGGAATGGGCCCGGTGTGCGCAGCCTGCACAAGTCAGTGTGATGGGCTCTGCCACGTGGCCTCTAGCAGGTGGACTCTCACCTGCCTCGCTGCTGGGCCACGGTGTCCTGGGCACCTGTTCTTGCTTGGCATCCAGCCTGGCTCAGGGTTTGAGAATTTCTCATTGGCTGTCACAGCAGGCATTCTTAGACGAGGGCAGACCCAGGCAGGGCATGGGCACTGCCTTCCCCAACCCTGAGCTGTGGCTTTCTCCTGGAGGCTGGCAGCAGGACCCTGCCTGTTGTGCCTATGGTACAGCCTGCAGGTGGCCAAGGAGGCGCCAGGGGCAGACACACAGTGAGGCCCAGGCCACACACTGCTCCTTGTAGGCCCCTGCCAGCACCTGCCGGGCCCTGCCTGGCCTTAGCGTGGTGCCAGGAGCAGCATAGAGGATCTCAGCATCGTGTTGAGGTGCAGGGGTTGCTGGTCTCTCCCTGGGCACCTTCCCATACAGTGCAGAGGGGCCAGGGCCCTGGAGCCCCCGACAGTCTCCTGGGGATCCTGGCTGAGAGCCCCCGTGGAGGCTGAGGCCAGGTGACGGCCACTGAGCCTCGCAGTGTGACGGGGACTGCGCAGCTGGAGGCCTTCTGTTGGAGCCGAGCAGAAAGCGCTGAGGCCGCTGTCCAGGCTCGCCGGGCCCCCTGGCTGTGCCCGCACCCAGGACCTCTGCGTGTGCCACCTAGATGTGGCTGCCGTGCCCCCAGCTGTACTGGGACCACAGGGATGTGCCCAGGAACTCTGTGTGGCTGCCTGTCCTCAGGCAGGGCCGGGGGCAGTACCTGCTCCCAGGAAGCTTCCAGCACTGGCAGCTAGGGTGACCCGAGGGCAGTGGCTGAGGGCTCGGGGTCAGACCTTCAGGCTCCTTCCTGAGTCACTGGCTGCTGTCCAGGAGGCTCACCAAGGGCAAGGCCAGCGTCCCTGGCTCACCTGTGGGCAGCCTGACCCGGGCCTCCAGGGGGCCAGAGCCCAGCTGCATCTCAGCCCTGTTCAAGAGCCACCAAGCCTGGGATCTTGGGGAAGGGGGCAGACCTCATCACACAGCTTAGCAGGGCACTCAGGTCAGGCACTGAGGGCACCTGTGGAGTGTCCCAGGGTAGACATTGCTTAGAGCGGAGCTGGCCAGGGCAGGGGGAGGCTGGGCTGGGAGGTGGTGCAGTAGGACTTGGGTCACACAGGATGTGGCAGCACAGGAAGGGTGGGGCCTGGCAGTGCGGGAGGGGTCACAGGACTGGTGGCCCTGGCTGGTGTTGGGACACTGAAATCTGAGTCTCGTGCCTGGCTGGCCATGAGGGTGACAGAACCTTGGCCTTGGCACCTCTCTGCTGTGTCACCTCCCTGTGGTGTCCAGCACAGCTCACCACGGCTTCTGTTTTGGGAGAGGACCCAGCGCTGGGATTTTGACATCTGGGTGTTTAACCCCAAGGCTGGGGTGCCGTGAGTCCCCAGGGTCAGGGAGGGTCAGGCGCACTAAGACAGCACTCAAGACCAAGGTCGGGAGGGTCATGAACAAGTCTTTATTCAACCTTGAGAGCAACAAGCTGTGTGATGGGTACACAACAGTGTGTGTGGCCAGGCGGCCACAGTGACCCTCACGGCACAGCAGTCGGAGAATCCAACCGGCCCCGTGGCTGCATGGGCAGGCCTGGTGCCGCCGAGGGTCACACAGTCCAGGGAAGACGAATCGGGACACTCGGGGGTCGCTGGCTGTGCCGGCGAGCATCATGGTAACGCCTCCTCCTCCCAGGCCTGTGGCAAGCTCTCGGGTGCAAGAAGTCCAACTCACTCCTGTGTCTACATACATCATGTATGTGCCATGTTTGCATGCCCTCCTCAACTGCAAAAGGCCGGCCCCACTGGGGAGCACGCACGCCAAGAAAAAATGAAAACAAAACCCAACGGCTGCAAGACGCGCTGGCCTTCTTCCCCTTTGTGGGAGGCAAGGCGTCCTCCCGTGGCCGGGGCAACGGCAGCGGCCTGGGCCAGGCAAGCACCCCAACCAGAGGGAGGTCACAGCCGCCAGGTCACGGCTGGAGAGGGAGACAATTGAAGGAAACGACACGGAACTGCCCCCTGACAGCAGGGCGGTTCCGGAGCGGGGGCTCTGCGCCGGGTCCGAAATGCTGGCCCCACGCGGACACAGTGCCCCCGAGACTGGTTGGTCACAAGTGCTAGGGAACTTGTCTCTGAAAAACGACGAAGCTCTGAGAAGTCCTCTTAGTTTTTCTTACAATAAAAAGTTCAGTTTCTGAAGAATAAGTTGAAGAAGATGCAACCCCCCCCCGCCCACCTGCTCTTCTCCATCTGGGTCCTACTGGACATCGGCGAAAGGCCTGAGAGGGCGAAGGTATTGTCCTGTCGGCCCCGAGCTGCCTGGGCCTGCGTGCAATCTATGTGGGACAGACATGCGGGCACTCATCATGCGGGCTCCGGGACACTTGGACCTGTACCTCCAAGCTGCACGCGGCCCGGCCCGGACATGCACGGCCCCACCTGCCGAACGGGGAGCGGAATGAGTCCGCGGCTGCTGCCCGCGAGGGAGGAATGCTCGGACGGAAAGGGAGACGGTGCCCTCCTCAGCAGCACAGAACCGGAAAACAAGGAAAGCAAAAACAAAATGCTTCGACACAGTGGCCCTCTCGACCCGGAGCCGCTGGGGCAGGGTGGCCACCAGCTGGGAGCCATGTGGGCCACCTCGGGGTCCCCTCAGAGGGGCTTAAAGTGCTTATACACCCATGGCCCAGCGGGTGCCCCCCAAGGCCTTGCAAAGGAAGAAAAAGGCGGGCAGGGTGCGAGGGCCTAAGAGGGAGTGGGCAGCATGCCCATCTTACCAGGGCCCCACCCGTAGACGCCATCTGCCCCGGGCCCAGCGCACGGAGGTGCTGGGGATCACTTCAAAGGAAAGAAAGGCTCCATGGTAATGCCCATTGCCACCTGGATGCCAGGTAGCGGCCCCTGTGGAGCCAGGCCCCCGGGGGTGCCCAGTTCTCTCATCATTCATAAAAGAAAAAAACAAAAACAAACAACAAACCAGGTGGTGAGGCACCCCTCCCTGCCAGCTGTGGTGGGCGGCAGGGGCTGGCACGGCCACCTCCCAGGACTCCCAAGCAGGGAGGAGACAGCTGGCACAAGCTGCAGCCCAGGGCTTGGCATGGGCCCTGCAGGCCAGTGGCAGCGAGAACCCAGGGCGGGCCCAGGTGGCGTCCACACCAGCAAGGTACCAAACAGCAGCCTGGGCTGGGTTCCTCCTGCCAGGATGAACTTGAGACACTTTGGAATGAAATCAGTGGCTTCAAGTGACTGGTACAAAGAGACCATTGGCTGGCATCGCCACAAAAAGGAACAAAGGTGCAGGGATGGCCGTCTGAGCCCAAACCCGCTGCTTCCTGCCACGTGTGAAGGGGCTTTGGATAAGTGGAGTCCGGGGTCGTCAGGGGACCCCGAGCCCCGGGGGCAGGAGGGACGCAGGCCACTTGGAGGGAAGGCCGAAAAGCCTGGTGTCCTGCAGGGGTTGGCCCCCCAGGATCCTGGGCCACGCCCTACTCCTCACGCACACGGTGGTACCTGCTGCCTCCAAACCCACAAAAACAGACAAGAAAAACAACCTTGGAAAGTCGAAAAAAGGTGTGAGGAAGAAGAGCATGGAAAGAAAAAAAAAACATTACCATTCAGAAAACTGCTCAACGGTGAGAAAAAATGTAAAACCCACAAAACAAGGCTTTTTCAGGATCTTTTTTTTTTGTGAAAAATTCATACAAAAATCAACAGCAAATTTATATTCTTTGCTATAAAAACTCATTAGGTACATATGTGCACGGAGGCTAGGGGAGGGGTAGGCTCTCGCTAGGACACCACCGGCCCAAGGGGCCTTGGCGTGGGCGCCCTGCCCAGCGGCCAGTGTGCTGGTGGCCGGCCCCCTCGCTGAGCACCGTGGGCTGTCCACGCGCCCTGCGCTCGCCAGGGCCCTGCGGCCTGCGTTTATCTGATACATATATATATATATATGTACGTATATATATATATACCTTTTCTATAAATGCATTATAAATATTTTATCAAGATTTCATAAGAATCAAGTTTCTTGGCTTGGAATACATTGGAATATATATTATACATATATATATATATTTATTTATATCTAAAATGTAAGCAATACTTCATGCTACTTCCGACCGTAACACTGCGAGTGTGCCCTGCGTTCGACATGCTCACCCCAGGCTGCGCGGGAAGAGCACTTTGGATTCATGGAGAACTCGGTAGAGCAGTGCGCCCCACGCTCGCCGCCCGGCCAGCACCGCCGGGCGTGCCGGCCACAGGAAAGTGTCGCACCCATTCCTGCTGTGGAGTTTTTCTTTAAGGCATTGTTCCTCAGACTTCAGAAAACCCAGCCACAAAAATCCACCAGGGCAATGAAAAAAGGCACAATCTCGCATCTTCCCACGGGCTCTCCCTCGGGCCGCGTCCACTGTCTGCGTCCGAGGCGCCCAGCGCCACTGCAGGTTCCCCGGCTGCAGGCAGGCCTGAGCCCCAGAAAACGTCCTCTTAAAAAACACATGAGCTACAAGATGAGTCGAGTGGTTTACACGGAGACTGTGGAACTGTGGGTCATGACCAGACGTTCAGCACCAGTTTGGGTCAAGTCTGTTTCGCAGTGAGAGCTTCATCCTGCTAAGCTTGGATGGAGCGCAGCCACTCTGCGGCCGTGGCGCAGGCCTCTGGCGGCTTCCCCGGCAGGGCCGCCTGTGTGCTTGGCTTTGCATGTCCATGTCTGCTCGCTGCCGTGTCTGTCCCGTGCTCCGCGGGATGCTGCCATGCCCACGTGCGGGCGGCAGAAAGGCCCCGGCTGTGGCCCCAGCCCCCAAGGGCCGCGGTAGCCGCAATGAGTGGGACAGTTTCTCGGCTGAGCTTCAAGACGAAGACAAACAAGGAAACAGCAGCTTCAAGAGGCTACAGGGGCGGCTCCTCTTCCATGGGCTCCTCCTCGGCCCTGTGGGGATGCAGACAAGCGGGCAGTGCCCAATCATGGGGGGCTCCCACGCACACCACAGCTCCGTACTCACTGGGCCCACCACATTGGGAAGAGTGCTACCGACCCCAGCCCAGGCCCACGGTGACAGACGCCTGCTGCCTGCAGAACCCCCTGGCCAGGCCCATGGCAACAGACCCCCGCTGCCTGCAGAACCCCCTGGCCAGGCCCATGGCAACAGACCCCCGCTGCCTGCAGAACCCCCTGGCCAGGCCCATGGCAACAGACCCCCGCTGCCTGCAGAACCCCCTGGCCAGGCCCATAGCGACAGACGCCTGCCACCTGCAGAACCCACTGGCCAGGTCCATGGCGACAGACACCCGCTGCCTGCAGAACTCCCTGGCCGGGCCCATGGAGGCAGACCCCGCCACCTGTACAACCTGCTGGCCAGGCCCATGGCAACAGACCCCCACACCCCTGCACAATCCCCCACCCCCTGCAGAATAGGCAGCAAGCCTGGGCAGCCACTCACCTCTTCTCAGCGGGCTCCACGCCCACAGACAGTGAGGCCATGGCAGTGACCGTCTCAGCTTCTTCGTTCTCACACGTCTGTACCTCCACCAGGGAGCGCCCGGCAGTGGACGGACGCTGCAGGCAGCGCCAGTATTTGCCTGGGGGCCGGAAGAGGCTCTCAGGGGCTGGGGGACTGCCTCCCAGGCCATGCCCAGGCCATGCCCAGGCCGCAGCTACCTCAGGCCCTGGGACTTTTGCAGGAGACAGATCTGGGCAGTACAGGCACCTCTGGACCTCAGCTCACACACATCTGGGCACCTTGGAAACGTTTACATGAGCCACCTGGGTCCAGCTGGCCCTCCCCCCGCAGGTGCCCACCCACAGTGAATGGTACTCAGTGGGCTCCTTCCTGGGACCCGATGTGCTGGGCCTTACCCAGAGCTAGCTCCTGGCACCAGCAGTGGCTCTGAGCTGGGAGCTGCTGCCCACACAGGTACACAGCAAGCAGGCCTCTGGCTTTCCCCACGTCACCGACAGCCTTGCCCACATCAATGTTTCAAAACCCAGATTAGGGTAAGTGAACCTTCCACCTGTGGCACTCCCTACGGGCGCTGGTTCAAGTCCTGTCTGCTCCACTTCTAACCCAGCTAATGGCTTGGAGAGACCAATGGAGGACAGATGGAGAGACCAATGGAGCCAGTGCTCGGGCTCCTGTCCCCACGTGGGAGATGCTCCTGGTATGAGATCAGCCCACCTCTGACCACTGCAGACATCTGGGGGGTGAACCAGCAGATGGAAACCATTTCTGCCTGTCTGTCCTCTGCTCTCTTTCAAGTAAATAAGAGAAGAAAAAGGAGAGAAAGGCAACCAGGGCTTTGAGAAGGACACACGTGGGTTTGGTGCGCGAGCAGGGGTCAGCTGATGGTGCCAGCCCCAGGTGGGAAATGGGCACAGGAAGACCCTGGATCCCGGACACAGGTGCCAGCTGGGGGCTGCCACGACACCATCCCTTGGAACTGGGGCTGCCACGCTGGGAGGTAGCTGGGAGGCCACCGAAGTCACATGAGCACCTCTACCAGCCCGCAAATGCCAGCCAGAGTGGGCCTGGCCACGCAGAACTCACTGTGGATCTCCGTGACCTTCTCCATGGAGCGCACGGCATTGGCGTTGGGTCTCTGCTGCATGACCTTGTCAGGGAGAGGATCAAGCTGGAAGAGAGGGACAGACGCTGGCTGCAGAGGGGGCACAGCCCAAGCAGCGTCCCGGAGGGCAGCGCGAGGGTCCATCAGCAGCTTTCACTGGCTCGGGAGACACTGAGGAGTATCTATGGGCTCCCACAAGCAGCGGAGGGAGCGTGACGGGAAGCGGCCCACGTGTGCCAGGAAGGCCGCTGTCCTCTCCCGCGGTCTCCCAGGAAAGCGTGATTCCTGTTAGCCCCAGGCAGCGATGGAGAGGCAGAGAGGGAGCCCTGGAGGGAGCCACATGTGGCCCAGAGCAGTGGGTGGTGGCCTGGGCCACAGAAGCTGGCAGCTTTAGCTCTGAAGAAACAACCAGGTCCACACTATCAGGGACATGTGCAGGGCCCGGGCGCAGCTGGGGCGGCCATGCAGATGGGCAGTGATGGTGCCCTCAGACAGCCAGGGGCTGGCCCAAGCACACACAGGAAAGGACGCACACAGGGCAGCCGTGGGTTTTGGGAATTGTGTGTGGACAGCTGCAGGGTCCTGGGCTCTCCAACACCAGTGCTCCCAGCAGAAGCCACAGGGCCCCTCCTAGAGGTGCCAGGTCCATGTAGCATAGGAGACAGAGGTAGGCGAGGGTGGTGGCCTGGGTGGGAACACAATGACGTGCCCATGCCAAGGCGCTCACGGGGTAGTTTGGGAGGGGTGGGCATTCAGTGCAACCAGGCAGAGACAGGGTGTACCCTGAGGACACACAGGACCACCTGGAAACTGTCTGGGCCATCGGTGGAACAACCATGCCATCAGCACTGAACGGCAAGTACAGCGAGGCCAAGACGGCAGCAGACGGCCTAGGAAACAGATTCTGGCCATGGCACACAGGTTTCATCTCCTGGAGCCCCGGGAGGTGTGGCACAACTCCCTGGCCTGTCCCCTGTGGCTGCTCCGGGGACACTGGCGGGGCCTTGCGGTTAGTGCAGGCATGCGGGCTGTGCACACTGAAAGCTTCATGTGACCCAAGGCTCAGCTGCTCAAAGCCGTGGCGGCCGGAGAATGACCCACAGCTGCTGGACAGGCTGCGTGTCTCAAGGCAGAGTACAGCATCCGCGCATGATTAAAGACCCAGAGAGGCAGCTGACCTGGGAGACGTGAGAGAAAGGGAGGCAGCCTTTAGAACAGGTGCACCAACACAAGCTGGACGCTCAGGGTGGCAGAGGAGGCGGTGAGGCGGACACGCCTGGGCAAGCGGTCCAGAGAACGGGGGTGGGGGCCAGGGATCCTGCGGTCAGCACTCGGAGGAGGGCAGCGTGACAGACTGACGTGTCACACACTCAGCCATGAGGCGTTTGAACCCTAGGGGCTTCCGGTCAGGACACGGCCCCAGGACATGTCTGAGCTACAGACGAGGCTGCTGTGGGTCCACGCAGGTTCCTCTGCCATGGCGAGACAAACGCTGCAGCGTCTGGCCTGCCCAAGCCGAAGGCGGGAGCCAGCAGCCCAGGGCCGGCATGGCTGGACCGTCTTCCCCTTCTGCTTGCCTCAGCCGCAGCAGACCAGCGGGGAACACGTACCCGGAACCCGTCTGGCTCATGGACACGAGCCAAGCCCTGCAGGGCCGGCAGAGGACACACACGGCGGGACAGCCCCGAGCTGCCCCCGCTCTGGCCACAAGGCTGGCTGGGCCTCTGCTTACTGAGAGGCAGGTGGACAGAGCACCAGCACCCTCACCACAGGGCAGGAGGAGGGCGTGGCCGCGGCTGCTGCTGACACAGGGCGCCCTCAGCTAGTAGGCAGAACTGGGCAACATGTGGGCGCAGGGCCCCTGGGGGACTGTCCTGTAAGGTAATTCAGCAAGGGAGCTGGATGGGCCATGATGTTTAAAGTCACGGCCCTGCAGCCACGGGCACAGGAAGCCTGCAGGACCAGCCCTGGCTGCCCCAGGCGTCACCCAGCCCCTCTCCTCTCCTATCTCAGGGTGCCCCGCTGAGCCTCGGTCTGATGTGATGGCTAGACCCGGAGTCCTCCCACTTGTCAGGAACCAAGACAATGTATGAAGCCACTGCATGAGTTTGCCACCCCTCCAGAGCATGGTGGGGGGTGCCCAGTGTGCACCCAGAGAGCTGCCAAAAGAGGGGAGCCCCGGGGGATGTTCTACACAGAATCCTGGTTCTCCTTAACTTCTTGTGGCCCCACTCCCCGGCAGGACCTGCACACGTGTGTGCCTTCCTCCCAGCACCGTGGCCCTGCCCTTGTCGGTACCCACGCCCCAGCCACAGCAGGGCTGTGCTTCACCCCTGAGCCCGGGTGCCTGCAGGGCCAGCAGGGGTGGTGTCAAGGTTGAGACCAGGGCTGGCACAGTGGCACAGCATGCTAGTATCCACCTTGTGGCACTGGCATCCCCTGAGGGTGAGGGCTCCTGTCCTGACTGCTCCACTTCCCATCCAGCTCCGTTTATGGACCGAAGCCTCGGGACCCTGTGGGAGACCCGGAAGCAGCTCTGGGCTCCTGGCTTTGATTAGTTCAGCTTGAGGAGTGAACCATCGATAGAAGACCTCTGTGTCTCCTTCTCTCCTTATCTGTTTTTAAGAAAAGTAAACAGGGCCCGGCGCAGTGGCCTAGTGGCTACAGTCCTCACCTTGAACATGCCGGGATCCCATGTGGGCGCCAGTTCTAACACCGGCAGCCCCACTTCCTATCCAGCTCCCTGCTTGTGGCCTGGGAAAGCAGTCGAGGACGGCCCAAAGCCCTAGGACCCTGTACCCACATGGGAGAACTGGAAGAAGTTCCTGGCTCCTGGCTTCGGATCAGCGCAGCACTGGACATTGAGGTCACTTGGGGAGTGAATCAATGGATGGAAGATCTTCCTCTCTGTCTCTCCTCCTCTCTGTATATCTGACTTTGCAATAGAAAGAAAGAAAAGAAAAGAAGAGAAAAGAAAAGAAAGGGAAAGAAAGGAAAGGAAAGGAAAGGAAAGGAAGAAAGAAAAAAAGAAAAATAAACCTTAGAAAAAAAGAGTAAGAGGTGACCACACCCTGTGCTCTGCCAGCTAGGAGAGGCAGAAACTCTGCAGACTCCCAGCCCTGCCCCCGCAGCACCCCGCAGCAGCAGCAGATGCCACAGGGCCTGGAAGGGTGAGAACTCGGCTGTGCGGGGAGCACCGGGCCCAGCACGGCGTCATCCTGCTACTCGGGAATCTTGAGGGGTCACTGGCCCCTTGCTGCTCGGGGCTGCCTGTCCCCTGCGCCATCCCTGCCCCACGCTTGCACACAGTCAAGCCGGCAGCTGCCCCTGGCCTCCCTGTTTCCGAGTGCTGGGCAGGCTGTCTGCGGTCTGCCCTTCCTGCAAACTTCTGCCCCGTCACATGCCCAGGAGTAACCCTCGCTGCTGTGGGCACCATGCCCACTGGCAGCTTCCTACGCGGAGGTCCTCCTTCAGCAGCATGGCTGTCTGTCCAGCACCCCTCAAGCCCCTGCACTGCCAGCTCATGGGGCTGCACACGCCACACGTGCCCAAGGACAGCACCCCAGGCCTCATGAAGCTCTGCAGCCAGAAGTGGAGCCCACGTGCTGGGCCCTGCTGGCCTTCAGCGTACAGGTATCTTCACAGGATCAACACAGGGGCTGGGGTTATGCGGCAGGCTGTGGGCGCCGGTTCAAGTCTGGCTGTTTCACTTGTGATTCAGCTCAAGTGCTAGGGAGGCAGTGGAGGACACCCATCCTCAACCCGGCCGCAGCCAGGCCAGGAGCAGCCCTGCCCTGTACTACAGGGCTCGGTCCAGGGACACTCGGGCTCATGGTGAATGCGTGAGGCGGGAGGAGCATGGGCATGTGGGTCCTGTCCACCTAGAGCCCCCAGAGCCCCACAGGGCCCAGGGATAACAGGCGGCCCTGCATCCTTGTGTCCGTTAGGGGCTGGGGGCGTTGGGCCCGTGCTTACTCCAGCAGCAGGAAATGGCATGAGACCAGCTCCCAGGGGCCTCTGGCACCTTTTCCGTGCCACCCAGGCCAGAAGCAGCAGGGCCAGGCCAAGGCCTGGGGACGGAGGGAACTGGTGGGCTGGTACTCTAACTGGAGCCCTAGCAGCCCGGCTGCAGACGCCACAGCATCCCTCTGGCTCGGTTCTGTGGACATGGAAGGTGCCACCTTGGTGTCACTGGGGTCTCAGGAGAGCTGTCCAGGCCCCGTGCCCATTGGGGTTACTCCTAGAGAGAAGCCAGTCTGCAGAGAGCCAAGATAAGGCTACCTGTCCCCCTTAACGGCTGCCTGCGCCCCGAGGGCATGTCCCTTGCTCCCATGAGTCTGTACCTCATTTCCCAGGAGAGCAGAGACGCACGCTTCAGAGGCGTCACAGATGGCCGTCAGGTCGTGGCCCCCCTCGAGGGCCAGGACGATGCGGCCACCAGCCAGGCCCATCAGTTGCTTGGTCAGGTGCCCAAAACCTGCAAAGGAGAAGCTGTCATGCAGAAGCTGGGCAGAGGGTCCTAGCTGGCACTCAGCTTGGGCAGAGGGTCCTAGCTGGCAGTCAGCTTGGGCTGCCCTGGGACGGCTTTGGCGTGTGATCTCACAGAGTAGTTGTCGCTATGTGGGGGTCCCGTGCCCCTGCCTGTAGCTCCCCAGAGAGGCTCCGGGGCTCCAGTCACCTGACCAATCATGGGGCACCTGCCCACCTGGGGCACCTGCATACAGGGAAGGCCGACGGGGTGGGTGATCGACTGTCCTTCCTCAGAAAGCACAGGGACCGATGGTGGTGACTGGGCCAGCTGTCCACGCCACGGCTTCTGGGAGCCCCACTCGGTCTCTCACTGAGCCAGTGACATGGGGCTCAGGGCTGCTGGGTAGATGCCAGAGGGCAGCCAGAGCAGGGTGACAGCAGCATCTGGGCTGTGGAAAGGAGACCAAGCTCCCTTCCCCTGCCCTGATGGAGTGAGGGGTCAGCTGGTGGGACTCCAGGGACCCCAGGACATCAGGGCCAGCCACGGCTCATGATGCCCAGGGCATGGGGAGCCACAAGCTGCTGCCTGGCTCTGACACTGCTAGGGCCGGCTGAAGCCATGCAGTCTGATGATGTCAGAGGCACAGAGTGGGAGTGAAGGCCATGGTCACCTTAAGCCACCCTCCTCACCCACACTCGTGACTGGGCTCCCAGCACCACTCTGCCCCCGGCTCCCTGCTGCTTTCTCTGCCTGGGCATTAGGGAGTGGTGCCTCCCTGTCACCGTGAGGGGATGGCCGCAGCATCCGTCAGCTCTCTGTGCATGGAAGGGCCTGCACGGCCCCAGGTCAGCCCCTGCACGCCCCGGTGCTCACGCACTGCTGCCTGAAGCCAGCTCTGTGCCCACAGGGATGATGGGGTCTCCAGTGCCCGTGGCGATGGGCAGACCACAGGCAGGGTGACCGCTGCGGGCACTTACACTTGGCAGAGAGGTTGTAGCCCCCGAGTGGCGTGGGGTGGCCCTCCACGGCGTCGAAGCCTGATGACACCAGCACCACGTCTGGGGCAAACTCGCCGGCGATGGGCATGACCACCGTTCTGGGAAGGGCAGGACAGGGCATCACCAGGCCAGCCCGGGCAGAGCACAGTGCCCCCCAGCTCCCAGCCAGGGGCTGCAGCGTGCGCATGCCCTCCAGGCGTCCCTCCACACACACCCCCGTACATGATGCCCAGTCACTTGCGTGTAACACAGCTCTATCCTCACTGGCCAAGGCTGCTGGCTGGTTCTGGGAGGTTCCTCCTCACCCCCGGCCATGGCACTAGCTGTGTGGACGTGGGGCCATCATCTCAGTTCCCCAGAGGGCTGTGCACCATAGCCAAGATGGGCACACTCTCATGTGAAGGAGCAGAGAACACACTGCCCTCTACCCCCGACCCCAGCCTCCCTCCACATGCCCCATTCTGGGATGTGGGAAAGTCGCCTGTCCCCACCGTCCAGGCAGCTGTGACCATGGCCAGCTCTGAAAGCCATGCCACCTCCAGACACGGTAATTGGTGTGACAGTGGCCAGCCAGGGCCTGCAGAAGTTCCACCCACTAGGCTGTAATCCATTCCCAGCACATGATGAGCAGTGGGACACGGCGGCGAGGGCTGGCAGCCAGCAGCCCCTCTGTTGACGTCCTAGGCTCTGCCTCGCCAGGACTATTACCTCACTGCCAACCGTGGCCAGTGCCACTGGGGACCACATGGGAAACACGCCAGGGTGCTGGCCTTGATCCTGCCTCCACCTGCTTCACCTCGGCACCGTGGTGGCCCTGACTCGAGTGCTGCCTGCCCCCAGGGCCCAGGGTCCAGCAGCCCCGCAATTATGCAGTCCAGCTGGGGCAGGGCAGTATGGCTCCCCAGCAAAGCCACCCAGGCTGGCCAGGGCTGAACAAGAGCTCTCCTCGGGCTGTCCAGGCAGCAGCCCTGCTGACCGGCCAGCCTTGTCCTCCTGTCCCTTCTTTCTTCTCTGCTGCCCTGACCCTCGCCTCCTGTGGCCTGGGGGCACGCTCAGCCCCACCCTGCTCTGCTCCACTGGCTCATCTGGCTCCCTGGCTGTTTGCTGGCACTGCTGCCCTCCAGCATGAGGGGCTATGCTGTCATGCTCTTATTTAATTTTTAAGGGCTGGCCCTGCAACCATGACTGAGACTGGCCAAGCAGGACCCTTCAAGTCCAAGTTCTCGGCTTATGCTTTCGCTTCTGTAATCACTGTGAGTGTCCTCGGTGGATCTCCACACAGGAGAACTTGGCCGTGCTCAAAGAAACACGATGACCGTTAGAAAAGGGGTGGCCAGGACCAGGGCAGGGAGGGCCCAGCTACTGTGGGACAAGAGGGACACAAGGCCGGCTAGTCACAGCGGGCAGTGGGACAAATAGATGGCGAAGCTTGGCCAACTATTGTGGACAGGAGGGCCATGGGGCAGAGGGGGTAATGGGACAGGAGGGCCATGGGGCAGAGGGGGTAATGGGACAGGAGGGCCCTGGGGCAGAGGGGGTAATGGGACAGGAGGGCCATGGGGCAGTGGGGGTAATGGGACAGGAGGGCCCTGGGGCAGAGGGGGTAATGGGACAGGAGGGCCCTGGGGCAGAGGGGGTAATGGGACAGGAGGGCCATGGGGCAGTGGGGGTAATGGGACAGGAGGGCCCTGGGGCAGAGGGGGTAATGGGACAGGAGGGGCATGGGGCAGTGGGGGTAATGGGACAGGAGGGCCATGGGGCAGTGGGGGTAATGGGACAGGAGGGCCCTGGGGCAGAGGGGGTAATGGGACAGGAGGGCCATGGGGCAGTGGGGGTAATGGGACAGGAGGGGCATGGGGCAGTGGGGGTAATGGGACAGGAGGGCCCTGGGGCAGTGGGGGTAATGGGACGGGAAGGGCATGGGGCAGTGGGGGTAATGGGACAGGAGGGGCATGGGGCAGTGGGGGTAATGGGATGGGAGGGCCCTGGGGCAGTGGGGGTAATGGGACGGGAAGGGCATGGGGCAGTGGGGGTAATGGGACGGGAAGGGCATGGGGCAGTGGGGGTAATGGGACAGGAGGGCCCTGGGGCAGAGGGGGTAATGGGACAGGAGGGGCATGGGGCAGTGGGGGTAATGGGACAGGAGGGGCATGGGGCAGTGGGGGTAATGGGACAGGAGGGGCATGGGGCAGTGGGGGTAATGGGATGCGAGGGCCCTGGGGCAGTGGGGGTAATGGGACAGGAGGGGCATGGGGCAGTGGGGGTAATGGGATGGGAGGGCCCTGGGGCAGTGGGGGTAATGGGACGGGAAGGGCATGGGGCAGTGGGGGTAATGGGACAGGAGGGCCCTGGGGCAGAGGGGGTAATGGGACAGGAGGGCCCTGGGGCAGAGGGGGTAATGGGACAGGAGGAGCATGGGGCAGTGGGGGTAATGGGACGGGAGGGGCATGGGGCAGTGGGGGTAATGGGACGGGAGGGCCCTGGGGCAGTGGGGGTAATGGGACGGGAAGGGCCCTGGGGCAGTGGGGGTAATGGGACGGGAAGGGCATGGGGCAGTGGGGGTAATGGGACAGGAGGGCCCTGGGGCAGTGGGGGTAATGGGACAGGAGGGTCCTGGGGCAGAGGGGGTAATGGGACGGGAGGGCCCTGGGGCAGAGGGGGTAATGGGACAGGAGGGGCATGGGGCAGTGGGGGTAATGGGACGGGAAGGGCATGGGGCAGTGGGGGTAATGGGACGGGAAGGGCCCTGGGGCAGTGGGGGTAATGGGACAGGAGGGCCCTGGGGCAGAGGGGGTAATGGGACAGGAGGGGCATGGGGCAGTGGGGGTAATGGGACGGGAGGGCCATAGGACTGGAAGGACACGGGCAGGGAGGGCCATGGGGCAGTGAGGATGTCGATCCCTCTGTCGCAGACAACACTCCTGGTGGGAGCAGCCAAGCCCAAGGAGCCGAGCAGCCGAGCTCGCACCTGCCTGGGAAGACGGGAGGAGCAGGCAGCCTGCGTGCTGCCAGGAGATCCAGCTCCGGCACCTGCAGCTCCGAGTCACCAGGGTTCTTGCACAGCCCTGGTAGAGGTAGGAGGTGGGGCTGCCGGCAGCACAGAGGAGCAAGAGAAGGTCCCCAGCACGTCCCCCGACCTCTGCCATCCCTGCCAACTTCAAAAGCGGCCCCTGGAGGCCCTGGTTTGAATTAAGGACATCACTTCTTGTCTCCAGGTCCCGGAGAGAGTGCTCTCAATGGCAGCAATTTTCTTATCTGTCCTTCATCTTGGGGACTAGTCCTGCAGGAGCAGCCTGGCAGGCCGGGGTCCCAGGGGCAGGGTGTGCCTGGAGAGGAGCAGTGGTGCTGGGAACCCTGAGTTCTGAACTTCCAAGTGCTCACAGAAGTTGCTCAGCACCAGCCACAGCAGGGCAGAGCCTACACAGAAAAACGGGCAGCCATATCTTCCCATGGCACCTCCCCCACCACAGCAGTGCACCTGCCGGCACATGCCGAGGCCAGATGCACTCACTCCTCTATACTGCTGTGCAGGGCACAGGACAGAGACACAACACACACACACATTTATACACAGACACCACCCACATGTCTACACGGAGACACAGGCATCCGACTGGAATCTGCGCCCGTGCTTGGGGAGGGTAACATTTTCAGGAGCACTCCGTCAGTGCTGGCCACTCCTGCCTGTATCTGGCTGTAGGCATTGTCCCTGGGCTCAGGCAGGATAGCAGAACAGCCACCCCCACGTCACAGCTCACACAGGTCTTGGTGAGCACAGAAGGCCGTGGGGTCCCCACCCTGCAGACCCTGTGCTCAGTCTTGCCCCGTCATGGCTTGCATGGACCCGAGTTTCTTTCAGCAGCACAGGACCGGGATGCTGTGAAACACTGAGCCTCAGGCTGCATGCTGACGCTCTCGTGCTGGAACCCCATCCTGTGTCCTGATGTCATCACAAGGCCGCGATGGTTCCCAGGGAACATCACAGGAGACTCACCTGAATGCTGCCAGGTACTCTGTGTCCCCCATGGGCGGGTCCAGACCTCCAGTGAACGCCATGTTGACATTGAAGCCCACGCCTGGCCCTGTGCCCACCTGTGGCCAGGGGAGACATGTCACACTTTCAGAGGGGCACCCTGACAAGGGGAACCTTTGGTCAGGGAACAGGGAACCCTTAAAAGGGAATTCTGCCAGGGAAACCCTCCAACATACATCCCTGACATGGGAGAACCCTCAGATGGGGACCCTGACACGGGAGAATCCTCAGATGGGGGCCCTGACACAGGGGAGCCCTCAGATGGACATCCTGACATAGAGGAACCCTCAGATGGGGACCCTGACACAGGGGAGCCCTCGTTGCGGACCCTGACATGGGGGAGCCCTCACTGGGGGCCCCTGGTGCAGTTGCACCCAGGCTGGAGCTTTCTTGGTACCCCCTCTATGGCATGGGCTCCTGGGTCCCATGGGGACTCTCCTTGCGCATGCTGAGTGCTACTTACAGGGCAGTGTGCCCACAGCGGCTCTATAAGGTCCGGCCAGAACAAGGCCCTGGGCTTCCAGGGAGGCCTGCAGCGCGAGAACACCTGGGGTCTGCAGCTCCCCAGCTCATCTAGCAGCACTGGGCAGGCGGGGGACACCAGGGCCCAGGGTCCCTCACCAGGCAACAAGGTCACAGGGGCTGCACGCTCGCTGGTTTGACCTGCCACCTCCTTAGCCTAGAAGCAAAAGCCACCCCTGCACCTGCCCTCCCACGGCCGGACCCAGACCTCCCTGGATCCTTCTGGAAGACCCACCGAGCTCCCTCACCTCGTCGGGCGCCCCGCTGCCTGGGAAGAAGTTGCCGTCATCATAGCGATGCAATGACACGTAGAGGACACTGGGGTCGCTGTAGAAGGCTTGCTGCGTCCCATTGCCATGGTGCACGTCCTGCGGGCGTGGGAGCCGGCTCAGGGCTGGGCCATGGGCAGCCCATGCAGTTCTCTCCTCTGCACACCAGGCATGGGATGGCAGCTCACGCCCTGGCGGGAAGGCTTCCCTGCTTGGCCTTACTCAGGTGGGAGCCGTAGGGGTGGGCATTTCTGCTGGGTCTCTGGGCCCTGTTGTGGTTGCACTACAGCAGCACCTGCTCGGCCTCTGTAGGGGGAGGTCACCGACTGGCTGCCCTCTCGCAGGCACACATGGAGATGTGTGGCCGTGGGTGCCAGGGGCAAGCCTCTCCTCCTGCCTGAGGGTGGCAGTGAGGTCGTCCTTCCCGGGGCAGCTGCCTGACCACTCTGTGCTCCAGCTGGGGGCTTGAACACAGACTAGGACCGCAGCTGCCACTGGTCGCAGCTTCCCTGACCTCTGCCTTCCAACTGCAAGCGCAGCCCTCGGCCGGTGGCCCTGACTGTGGGTGAGGACGGGCTGGTAGACGAGGCCAGCTCTGGGAGTACAAGTGCCCCCAGCCTTCGGAGGCGGCCGCGTGCCGGGGAGCCTGGGGCAGGCAGGCCCCACTCACCCAGTCCACGATGAGGATCTTGCTCACATTCAGCCTCTGCTGTAGGAGCTTGGCGGCCACGGCCACGGAGTTGAAGTAGCAGAAGCCCCTGTGTGGGGACGAGGGGACGCGGGCGGAGCGCTCAGCACACGTGCCCCACCGGGCAGGCTTGTGCACGTCTCACACACACACACACACACACACACACACACACACACCAGGCAGATGCAGGACTTACCCCCACAATCCACACCCCTGCCACATGAACACCATATACATCAACACACCAAGGATGCACAAGTGTGCCCACAGACACCCCCCACATCAGATACATGCATGTAGACACACACCAGGTATACACACATATAGACAGACATACAGATTCACACCTTCATCTCAGGTACAGCACACATAGCATGGATATACATGTGTGCAAACACTCCCACCAGGGATATACATACATACATACATACATGTACACACAAGGGCCGCCCTCCACCCTCACACACACATACATACATGTACACACAAGGGCCGCCCTCCACCCTTACCACACACATACATACATGCATGTACACACAAGGGATGCTCTCCACCCTTACCACACACACATACATACATGTACACACAAGGGCCGCCCTCCACCCTTACCACACACACATACATGTACACACAAGGGCCGCCCTCCACCCTTACCACACACATACATACATGCATGTACACACAAGGGATGCTCTCCACCCTTACCACACACACATACATACATGTACACACAAGGGCCGCCCTCCACCCTTACCACACACACATACATGTACACACAAGGGCCGCCCTCCACCCTGACCACACACACATACATACATGTACACACAAGGGCCGCCCTCCACCCTGACCACACACACATACATACATGTACACACAAGGGCCGCCCTCCACCCTCACACACACATACATACATGTACACACAAGGGCCGCCCTCCACCCTTACCACACACATACATACATGCATGTACACACAAGGGATGCTCTCCACCCTTACCACACACACATACATACATGTACACACAAGGGCCGCCCTCCACCCTTACCACACACACATACATGTACACACAAGGGCCGCCCTCCACCCTTACCACACACATACATACATGCATGTACACACAAGGGATGCTCTCCTCCCTTACCACACACACATACATACATGTACACACAAGGGCCGCCCTCCACCCTTACCACACACACATACATGTACACACAAGGGCCGCCCTCCACCCTTACCACACACATACATACATGCATGTACACACAAGGGATGCTCTCCACCCTTACCACACACACATACATACATGTACACACAAGGGCCGCCCTCCACCCTTACCACACACACATACATGTACACACAAGGGCCGCCCTCCACCCTGACCACACACACATACATACATGTACACACAAGGGCCGCCCTCCACCCTGACCACACACACATACATACATGTACACACAAGGGCCGCCCTCCACCCTGACCACACACACATACATACATGTACACACAAGGGCCGCCCTCCACCCTCACACACACACATACATACATGTACACACAAGGGATGCTCTCCACCCTTACCACACACACATACATACATGTACACACAAGGGCCGCCCTCCACCCTCACACACACACATACATACATGTACACACAAGGGATGCTCTCCACCCTTACCACACACATACATACATACATGTACACACAAGGGCCGCCCTCCACCCCGCCACACACACACATACATACATGTACACACAAGGGATGCTCTCCACCCTTACCACACACACATACATACATGTACACACAAGGGCCGCCCTCCACCCTTACCACACACATACATACATGTACACACAAGGGCCGTCCTCCACCCTGACCACACACACATACATACATGTACACACAAGGGCCGCCCTCCACCCTCACACACACATACATACATGTACACACAAGGGCCGCCCTCCACCCTTACCACACACATACATACATACATGTACACACAAGGGCCGCCCTCCACCCCGCCACACACACACATACATACATGTACACACAAGGGATGCTCTCCACCCTTACCACACACATACATACATACATGTACACATAAGGGCCGCCCTCCACCCTCACACACACACACATACATACATGTACACACAAGGGATGCTCTCCACCCTTACCACACACACATACATACATGTACACACAAGGGCCGCCCTCCACCCTGACCACACACACATACATACATGTACACACAAGGGCCGCCCTCCACCCTGACCACACACACATACATACATGTACACACAAGGGCCGCCCTCCACCCTTACCACACACACATACATGTACACACAAGGGCCGCCCTCCACCCTGACCACACACACATACATACATGTACACACAAGGGATGCTCTCCACCCTGACCACACACACACATACATACATGTACACACAAGGGCCACCCTCCACCCTTACCACACACACATACATACATGTACACACAAGGGCCGCCCTCCACCCTTACCACACACACATACATACATGTACACACAAGGGCCGCCCTCCACCCTGACCACACACACATACATGTACACACAAGGGCCGCCCTCCACCCTGACCACACACACATACATGTACACACAAGGGCCGCCCTCCACCCTGACCACACACACACATACATGCATGTACACACAAGGGCCGCCCTCCACCCTCACACACACATACATACATACATGTACACACAAGTGACGTCCTCCACCCTTACCACACACACACATGTATACACACACACAAGGGCCGCCCTCCACCCTGACCACACACACACATATACATACATGTACACACAAGGGACGCCCTCCACCCCACCACACACACATACATACATGTACACACAAGGGATGCTCTCCACCCTTACCACACACATACATACATACATGTACACACAAGGGATGCTCTCCACCCTTACCACACACATACATACATACATGTACACATAAGGGCCGCCCTCCACCCTCACACACACACATACATACATGTACACACAAGGGATGCTCTCCACCCTTACCACACACACATACATACATGTACACACAAGGGCCGCCCTCCACCCTGACCACACACACATACATACATGTACACACAAGGGCCGCCCTCCACCCTGACCACACACACATACATACATGTACACACAAGGGCCGCCCTCCACCCTTACCACACACACATACATACATGTACACACAAGGGCCGCCCTCCACCCTGACCACACACACATACATACATGTACACACAAGGGATGCTCTCCACCCTGACCACACACACACATACATACATGTACACACAAGGGCCGCCCTCCACCCTTACCACACACACATACATACATGTACACACAAGGGCCGCCCTCCACCCTGACCACACACACATACATGTACACACAAGGGCCGCCCTCCACCCTTACCACACACACACACATACATACATGTACACACAAGGGCCGCCCTCCACCCTGACCACACACACATACATACATGTACACACAAGGGATGCTCTCCACCCTGACCACACACACACATACATACATGTACACACAAGGGCCGCCCTCCACCCTTACCACACACACATACATACATGTACACACAAGGGCCGCCCTCCACCCTGACCACACACACATACATGTACACACAAGGGCCGCCCTCCACCCTGACCACACACACACATACATGCATGTACACACAAGGGCCGCCCTCCACCCTCACACACACATACATACATACATGTACACACAAGTGATGTCCTCCACCCTTACCACACACACACATGCATACACACACACAAGGGCCGCCCTCCACCCTGACCACACACACACATATACATACATGTACACACAAGGGACGCCCTCCACCCCACCACACACACATACATACATGTACACACAAGGGCCGCCCTCCACCCCGCCACACACATACATGGATATGCACATATTTATACATACATGTATACACACAGATGCCCTCCACCCTCACCACATGCACACACACACCATGGAAAATATCCATATATGCTTGTATATAAACATACAGATTAAATGCTCTCCATACAAATCCATACGCTCATCACATATACACACTATGGATGTACATGCACACACATGCAGCTGATGTATGCATGTACACAGAGGCACACACATACCCCGATACAGACACCCTCCCCACATGTAACCACACACACATATACACACATGTGGACATACACATCCCCAAGATGCAACTGTAACAGATACACAAATGCACACTTACACACCACAGTATGGATTTGGCACACGCATGAAAACACACCACACCCATGTAGAGACACACACACTGTGCAGACCCCTGCCCACAGCCAAACAGTGGCACACGCCAAGGACGCAAAGGCACAGCCTCCCTCAGGGCACTCAGTCCTACTGGGGTGGACAGGGACACTCATGCACATAGTCAGTCTCTCATACAGAATGTGCAGCACTGCTATGTTGATGTGTCGACTGTACACATATGTACTACACACACAGCCAGCCTCCTATGTGGAGTACAGCACTGACACACACGCCCTCTCATGTGGGGGTACACAGCACTCCTGCACTGACACACACACGCCCTCTCATGTGGGGGTGCACAGCACTCCTGTACACACACACACACACACACACGCCCTCTCATGTGGGGGTGCACAGCACTCCTGTACACACACACACACACACGCCCTCTCATGTGGGGGTACACAGCACTCCTGCACTGACACACACACATGCCCTCTCATGTGGGGGTACACAGCACTCCCATGCTGACACAATGCACATACATGTACCACATAACCACAAACCGCACATATACCCCCCAACACACACACAGAAAGACATAAACACAGCTCCCACCCATGGGTTCATTTCCCATCTGCCCATGGGGCCTGACTTCAAGGCCTGGGCCAAAGCCTTGGGTAGGCAACTCAGCCCAGGTCCCCCATGAGGACGGCAGGAACTCTGCCCTGTGGGCCATCCCTGCCTCCTCCCTGGTCTACACGGAGGGCACTGGAGCGCTGCTCTGTGGCCAGCGCCTGCTCCACCCTCCTATGTCCCAGCTTGCTTCCCCAGAGGAGTGTCCTGTCACTAAGCCTGGCCCAGCTCCCCGACCCCCTCACTGCTAACCGGTCAGTGAGGCAGACACTCAGAGGGGCCCCGCTGGCACCACTGGCCCAGGGCTGTGCCGTGGAAAGGATAGGTGGCCTGCATGCATATGCCTCAGCAGGGTGCCCAGTGCCACGGCCCAGGGTCTACTCACATGGGGGTGCTCTCCTCGGCGTGGTGTCCTGGGGGGCGGACCACAGCAAAGCCGTTCTGGAGGATGCAGCCATGGGGGAGGGGCAGAGACAGGCTTTACCTCAAGGTTCAGTCCCAGCAGCCCCCAGCCCGAGGACGGCACTGCCTGGGAGCCTGCCCTATACACCCGGGCTCCTCTTTATACTGGTCCGCCAGCACCAGGAGTGCCTGGTGAGGCCCAGGCCAAAGATTAAAGCAGAATCTGTCCTGAGGCTTGCTCAACTGGGTCCCCAAGCTTTGCCAAGAAGTGGCCGAGTTCTGTCCTGCTCACTGCCCCTAGCTCTGGCTGGTGTGTGGACACAGGCCCTGTTCTGCATTCCTGCACCTCAGCTCTGTCCTACACAATGCAGCCCTTATAGGGGTGTGAACGCTGCGTCCCGTCCTACACCCAGCCCTTATAGGGGTGTGCACGCTGCGTCCCGTCCTACGCCCAGCCCTTATAGGGGTGTGCACGCTGCGTCCTGTCTTACGCCCAGCCCTTATAGGGGTGTGCATGCTGCGTCCCGTCCTACGCCCAGCCCTTATAGGGGTGTGCACGCTGCGTCCTGTCTTACGCCCAGCCCTTATAGGGGTGTGCATGCTGCGTCCCGTCCTACGCCCAGCCCTTATAGGGGTGTGCACACTGCGTCCTGTCTTACGCCCAGCCCTTATAGGGGTGTGCACGCTGCGTCCTGTCCTACACCCAGCACTGGCTGGGGTGAGCTCCTACGCCCAGCCCTTATAGGGGTGTGCACGCTGCGTCCTGTCTTACGCCCAGCCCTTATAGGGGTGAGCACGCTGCGTCCTGTCCTACGCCCAGCACTGGCTGGGGTGAGCACGCTGCGTCCCGTCCTACGCCCAGCCCTTATAGGGGTGTGCACACTGTGTCCCGTCCTACACCCAGCCCTTATAGGGGTGTGCATGCTGCGTCCCGTCCTACGCCCAGCCCTTATAGGGGTGTGAACGCTGCGTCCCGTCCTACGCCCAGCACTGGCTGGGGTGTGCACGCTGCGTCCCGTCCTACGCCCAGCACTGGCTGGGGTGAGCACGCTGTGTCCCGTCCTACGCCCAGCTCCTCTCCCATGCCTTGGGTCTCAACAGCCAGCTGCAAGCCACTCCACGGAGGCCGTAGTAGGTGCAGCTTCCATCAATAGGAGCAGGCAGCCACAGGAAGCTGTGGTCGTGTCTACCTTCTCAGGGCAGTCAGCGATGGCTGGCTGTGCTGCCCGTGGTGTTGATAAGCCTGCCCCAGGGGCCAGCAAGTGTGGTCATGACGCCCACCCAGGCCCATGAGAGCCGTGACTGGCAGAACTGCTATCTCTGGTGGCTGGTCTGTCCACAGATGTGGCCTGCTTTATGACCACACTGAAGCCTACTTGCCTCTCCTCCGTGGGAGAGGTCACGGCACTGGTGCAAGGCTGGTGTGTGGCAGCAAGGGACAGGGTGAGCTGCTCCGGCATGGGCCACATCGGGGGGGGGGGGGCACTTCCTTGAGGTATGTCTCCTGAGAGCATCTTGCCTTCTGTGTCGGACACACAGAGCCCATGGAACTCTTCCTGCTGCTGGACAGTGGTGAGGACCCTCTCTAGTGCCTGGCCACCAGGGCTGGGAGCACAGATGGACACACAACTCGCCACCTGGACAGCTGCTGACACCACGGGCTGGAATGCGGTGTCTGCCCATGGGCCTTCCCGGGTGCGTGGACTTCCTAATGAGACAGCGGCAATGGGGTAACAGTTTTAAGCCCTCGGGGACGTTCCGCAGAGCTCAGAAGTCTGTCTGGTGCCAGAGTGACCAGCAGGTTCAGAAGATGGCCCCACTCAGGAAACGCTGCCAAGTATGATCTGCTGAGGGCCATGAGGCTGGCCCTGGGGTCCAGGCCCCAGCGGGGGTGGACAAGCCTGACAGCTCTCCCTTTCCGACTTGCTGTCACCACCTCCACGTGGCAGTACGAAGCAGCTTGGTGGCTTTGTGCTGCTCCAACATGGCCAACAGGGGCCTGGGGCATGCTGGGGACAAAGCTCTTGGGCCCCTCTGCAAGAAGACCCTCTGAGAATCCAGGCACTGGCCCTCTGCAAAGTCATGGTATACCTGGTATGCACCTGTGCGGACCACGGGCGGTCCTGGTCCTGGGCGGGAGCTGCCAGCCTTGGCAGTGCCCTTGGCCTGACCGGCGGGCAGGGGCTCACAGGGGGCTCAGTGCCCTTGGCCTGACCGGCAGGCAGGGACTCACGGGGGTTACTTTGAGTACCTTCCTGTTGGGATTTCTTCCGCTGTGCCCCACTGACCTTCAGTTCCCCCGTGGCCACCTTGAAAACCAGTTCCACCACACAGCCCACAGCCAGGCGGGCTGCCCCTGCCGAGTGCACCTCGTTCCAGATGGTGTCGCTGTCCACCTACGGAAACACGTGCTCACGGTGAGGCCGGCTTCCCCAGCCCCGGGCCCCCAAGGCTCTGGCACCTGCTCATACAACAGGCCCTGCACTGTCTACACTCCTTTCCCGTGTTCGCTGCTCCAGTGTGACAAGCTCAGTAGTGACGTGGGCCATCTGTGAGTCGCTGTGACATGTAAGGCAGGGGGTCAGGATCTGTGCAGTGACCATCATATTCGAGCAGCTCAGGTGTGGGGCAGTGGCCGGTCAGCAGCTGGGCCAGGCGAGGCGACGAGCGTTGAGTTGGGGGCATCTGTGCCTGGGAAGCGCCGGCTGGTGGCGGAAGCAGTACACCTCACTGGCCAGGGCCACGGATACAAGTTTCCCATGGGAGCCTGGGGTTGGGGTCTGAGGGTGACCCAACCTGTGCTGTCCCTTCCATGGCACACTGGTTAATGGTGTCGCAAGCTGGTCAGACCCACAGGAGACCCCAGCTCCTCGTGTCCACCTCCTGAGACCCAGCTGCATCTACCCTCAGCCCGGCAGAGCTGCCCAGGCCCTCCAGGGGCTGAGGACCTGTCAGGCTGCAGACTGCTGGGGGCTGCTGTGTCGGGTAACCATACCACTGCAGTCCTAACTGGTTTCCGACTGTCACCAGGCTGCTGACGGCTATGGAAACGCCTGAGATCCAGCTTCCTGTGTAAATGCGGCAGGGTCACGGTGCTAAGGACCTGTCTTTGCACTTGGTCCACCGGGGAGGGGCCTTGGCCTGCAGGGGCAGGCTCGGGGTTCAGTTGTCCCTCAGGCCCACTCCAGGATCCCATGCTGGCTAGATGCTCAGAGACTGCGACCTCCACTGGCTCCCACAGCCCGAGCCCGGAGCGCCTGGCAAGGGAGTTGGCTCAGCCGCTGGGACTGAGGAATCAGAAATGGCTACACGTGCTGGATTGCCAGAGACACTGTGGCAAAATGGGCAGAGAGGACTGGGGGGTAGGTTCTCCCGAGACTAACGTGGGGATCTGGGCGGGCACTGGGGGTCCTCCAGAGCTCAGAGTAAACTGTGAGCTCCTGGGAGACCCAGGAACTTCCCTGGCACCCGCAGTAACTGGGAGCTGAGCCCACGGGAGCTCAGGGATTGGATTTGAAGCCGATTTGGAAGGGTGTTAGCGCAGGCACGGGGTGGGGTGACTCCAGGCTGCAGGACTGCACACTAACCCCAGGGGGCACCAGGAGCAGCCCCACCCTGACTAGAGGCTGCTTCTGGGGTCACTCGCATCCTCCCATCACCCAGAGGGACTGGTCCCCAGCTCTGTAAGGTAAGGGGTCATGGTGTGTAGGGGTGTAGCTGTGCTTGCCACACAGGACATCCATGCCAGGGCAGGGGTCTCTCTGGACACTGGTGGCCATGAATGCCTCCCACGTGGGTCTCTGCCCGGTCAGTCTGCCCTGTCCAGTATCACATCTGAGCTTGGCATGCAGGAGGGGCTGTCTAGGAAGCACCCAGCTTTCATTTGCAGACTGCAAGCAGGCAGCAGGCCCAGGTCTGGCCATAACTTGCCCAGACTGATTGCAGCCCGTCTGGGTGCACAGCGAGCAGCAATGAGAGGGCCTGCGGGGCAGTACGTGCCGTTTATTTTCCTTCTGACAGGATAATTTTCAAAGCAGTGATTTTTGTAAAGACTCAGGAAGAAAACAATTTTGTTTCATTTCCATAACAGAATCCAGGCCTTGAGCCCCACTGCATGCTGTGATCACACACAGGGCAGCCTCAGCCGCGAGGGCCCACCTTGCCCCCGTGACCGTCGGATGTGGCTGGCGCTGGGCAACCACGATGGTCAGCAGATGGGCCAGCAGGCCACCCGCTCCAGCCAAGTGCAGGTGGTGGGGAGGACGCCCCCTGAGCTGGCCTTCCCCACGTCACTCTTGGGCAGCCAGGAGCCTCACCTGGGAGCACCCCCAGCTTTAAGTGGTGTGTGTGTTTACTCTGGTACAAAAAATGCAAACGCATGCAGAGATGGCTCACACCGCGTTGTCCATGAGCTTTTCAAGCTTTTCAATGTAAACTCATGTCTCAGCTCTGCCTCCACGGGGGCTGTGGCATGGGACCCACACACGGGAGAGGTGCGCAGCGCGAGGGGCCCCAGCCCTAACCAGGGTCCCACGTGGCAGGTGCCCGCAGTGTCTGGAGTCAACCTGCCTCAGCCAGGTGCCTGGCTGGCCGTGGAAATGCCCAGGCTCTGGGGGGGGGGGGTCTTTGCTGGGAGGCCATGCAAGGAAAGCAGCTGGCAGCAATTACCCCTCCAGGGGAGCCAGCACGGGGAGGGGAGCCAGCATGGGAGTCGCTCATGAAAGGGAGACTTACCCCGACACCGCCGCAGGGGAGCCGCACGAAGACCGAGGTCAGGGAGCCTGTGGGGACACGGGAGAGGTCAGGAGGCCACGGCGGCTGCTGTGGGCCGCACAGGGCCCTCCCTGCTGCCATCCCCAGGGGCATTCTGGACCTTGGCAATGGGCCTGGGAGCAGGGCTGCAGATGATGGGGTACTGGGCACGAACCATGGCAAACCTCATTTCCACAACACCTGGCTCTGGAACCTCATGTGACAGCCATTCTCCTTGTGTGACCCACGCTGCCCGACTACAGGCATGCCCCGAGCCGTCTCATGCCGGCTGAACCCTGGGCCGCAGCATGGCTCTGGGCCTCCAGGTGGCCACAGGTCCCTGTTCCACGGTGGTGGGGCTGCCATGCCAGTGCAGAGTGGGCTGGTGGCAGTGGACAGCACTGGCGGCCACTTTCCAGAAAGGCTTTGCAGGCTTGGGGCCGACTGTGGGCATGCTCACCAACCGGGGCACGGGCTGGCCAAAGGCCATGGTACAGGCTACGTGGGTGCTGTGGTGCTGTGTCCTGAAACAAGCGAGCAGGTGCCCCCAGTGCAGGACTGTGCCCAGGCCCCGAGCCACGGGGTCAGCACCATGGACCAGGCCTGGTCCGTTTCTGACTTCCGCTCCTGCCCCCCCGCCTGGGACTTGCTGATTTCACGTGTGAGATGTGGGACTGGGGAAGCCACGTGGTGCTCTGGGACTGCAGCAGAGTGCTCTGTGGCGTGAGGGATGGGCAGCTGCAGGGGAAGGGCAGCGTCTCCAGGGCAGGGGCCTCCTTACACTAACACCCTCCTCAGAGGCCGACGCCAGGCTGAACCCAGGCCGACGCCAGGCTGAACCAGGCCGACGCCAGGCTGAACCCAGGCCGACGCCAGGCTGAACCAGGCCGACGCCAGGCTGAACCAGGCCGACGCCAGGCTGAACCCAGGCCGACGCCAGGCTGAACCAGGCCGACGCCAGGCTGAACCCAGGCCGACGCCAGGCTGAACCAGGCCGACGCCAGGCTGAACCAGGCCGACGCCAGGCTGAACCCAGGCCGACGCCAGGCTGAACCAGGCCGACGCCAGGCTGAACCCAGGCCGACGCCAGGCTGAACCCAGGCCGACGCCTGGAACCCAGCTGGGTGCAAGAGCTCCACCATGTGGACCAATAGCTGCTGCATCTCGGCTGCGTGCCAGCAGCAAGTGGGGATCGGACTGGCATCTGGGCACTGTGCGGTTGGGGAGGCACAGTCCGGAAGCCCAGCACTGCCAGGGCTAGCTCGAGCAGGCAGTTGGCCAGGGTGTTTTCAGCAGGGACCTCCTCTGGCACAGCCGTGTGGCAGTGAGCGGCCCTGGTCTCCCTTCCGATGTGGGTACAACACACAGGCACACACACTGAGTACACAGGCCTCTGGACAGGCTGACCCTCTGCCTGAGGTCCAAGATGGCAGCAACACCCAGGAAAACCTCGTGTCACTGAGTGCTTTGACACTGCTTGGCATCTAACAAAGACCACGGCATTTTAGGAGACAATGTGACAGCCCTCACACTTGGGCAGATAATAGGGCGTCATGCTTTCCGACGGGGCGGCTGTTTGATAATGGAGTTCTGAGTTGTCCAACTGGGGGAGGACTGTCTCTGCTCCCAAGGTATGGGAGCATCCCAGACCCAGGCATGTGGCAGCCCCACTCACCAAACTCCAGACCACAGCTGTGTCCTGGCCACCCTCATCAGGCGGTCCTTGGTGCATGGTGTGCCCCAGCATGCTCTGGGAGGGGACCCCATAGCCCCCTGGGCCAGGCTGCCTAGAAGCTGCCACAGCTGCTGCTGACAGATGGACCCTGGGACACCCTGCAGTGACAGCGAGCAGTCACAGCTGCCCGTGTCCCAGTGGCACCCAAGTGCCCACGAGGGCAGGCCCCAGGCGGGAGCAGGGAGCTCGTGCACGCAGCCTTGCTGTCTGTTCATTCAATTAACGGAGGGTAGAAGATCAGACAGGATTGTCTGAGCATTAGTCAGGGTTACGATAACAAAATTCAAGTTAATCACCCATTATTACCACGCTGCAAAGCCAGATGGAGAATGAAACAACACAGTGAGGATGGGGTGGGAACATGAAAATGCGTCCCAAGCGTGAGAGGGTGTGGTGTGGGCATACAGCACCCCACATGCCACTCACAGCATGTACACACATGTACAGTATGGACACACACACACCTACAGCGCGCACACACACAGCATGCACACACACTCTACAGCGTGCACACACACACCTACAGCGTGCACACACACACCTACAGCGTGCACACACACACCTGCAGCATACACACACACACACAGCATGCACACACACCTACAGCGTGCACACACACCTACAGCGTGCACACACAGCTACAGCATGCACACACACACCTGCAGCATGCACACACACACCTACAGCGTGCACACACACCTACAGCATGCACACACACACCTACAGCGTGCACACACACACCTACAGCGTGCACACACACCTACAGCATACACACACACCTACAGCATGCACACACACACCTACAGCGTGCACACACACCTACAGCGTGCACACACACACCTACAGCATGCACACACACATCTACAGCATGCACACACACCTAGAGCATACACACACACCTACAGCGTGCACACACACCTACAGCGAGCACACACACACCTACAGCATGTGCACACACACCTACAGCGTGCACACACACACCTACAGCGTGCACACACACCTACAGCGAGCACACACACACCTACAGCATGTGCACACACACCTACAGCGTGCACACACACACCTACAGCGTGCACACACACACCTGCAGCATGCACACACACACCTACAGCATGCACACACCTACAGCGTGCACACACACACCTACAGCATGTACACACACACCTACAGCATGCACACACACACCTACAACGTGCACACACACACCTACAGCGTGCACACACACACCTGCAGCATGCACACACACTACCTACAGCATGCACACACACACCTACAGCATGCACACACACCTGCAGCATGCACACACACCTACAGCATGCACACACACCTATAGTACACTTCTTATAATTTATAAAAATACATCTCACCACCTACACTCCACCTACACCATACATGCCACATACCCACATATGTACTCATACACACCAAGCATGCCCTGCCCTCACCCCAGATCAATATCCCACACCCAACACCAACCCCTCACCGTCCATGTCCCTTTTCCTACAGAGAGCCCAGACAGCACACACACACACCCTCCACGTGCACCCACCACAGACATCAGAGCATACCACATACACAGAATGCTGTGCTCTGACACACCCACTAAGCAACTCTGTCAACCCTGAAGTCGCTGCCTGTGGCGGGTTGCACAGGGGCCCTGGGCCTTGAAGATGAAGGCAAACAGTTCAACAAAGAAATCAAATCTACAGGGTCTTGCGTGGGGACTTGAGGGTTGAGAAACTGGCCAGAGAGGCAGACCAAGGCATGGAGCTGCCTGCCCCGAGGAGTGAGCCGCACCAAGTGGCTGCCGCCTACTTCTTCCTTGACTGTCCCAAGCCTGAGTGTTTGTTTATAGAAAACCCTGTGCCCGGGGCCGGCAGTGCAGTAAGGCCTGATACACTGACATCCCATATGGGTACCAGTTTGCGTCCCGGCTGCTGTACTTCTAACCCAGCTCCCTGCTGATGGCAGCACAAGATGGCAAAAGGGCTTGGACTCTGCACCCATGAGGGCGTCCGGGAAGAAGCTCCTGGCTGCAGCCCAGCCCAGCTTTGGCCGTTTGGGGCCTGAACCAGCGTATGAAGATCTTTCTCTATCTCTCCTCTCTAAGTCTATCAGGATAAAAACAAGTGAATCTTAAAAAAAACGTAAAATAAAAAAGTAAAAGGCAAGCCTGCCACCCAGGGACAGAGACTGATGGCCCCTGATGCGCTCCCACGGCCGTGCTCTGGGCCCCTGCAGCTCGTGCTCGGGGAACAGCAGCTCCCCCCGCTGCCTGCCCCGGGACCAGGCAATGTGGAGCTTGTCAAGGGGTCCTCAGCTCTGTGCAGCCCCCGGTAGAGACACCCACCCTCCTCTAGAAAGTTCTCTCACGCTGGGGGGTGTTTCTGCTAACATGCCAGGAAGGCAGCAGTTAGCACAGTGTCCGGGCCTGAGCAGCCATGTGGGAGACCAGGACAGAGCCTGCGGCTTCAGCCCAGCCCTGGCCGCCGCGGCCGTTACTGGCCCAGTCCACTGGGCAGAAGCTCGCACTCTTCCCACCTCCTCCACTCTGGTGAGTGAACAAGCACATTGTTACCTAAAGCTCATGGCCTTCTGCTCTCCCTTGCCTGCCCAAGGTCGCAAGCAGGCAGCCCTTGGCTGGAGGTCACTGCCCGGGCCTGCAGCGCTTCCTGTCCAGACTCCTCTTGGGGTCTGCAGGAGCCCCTCTGGCTGCAGCCGCCTCACGTGAACTGTGCCATGTGAGGTGCTGCTGGAGCCTGTGGCTTGGCGGGGCCTCAGGGGCACAGGGAATACCCAGCAGTTTCTTACTGTCCAGTTTCTGCCTGTTGAGGGGGTTGGTGCCGTAGAGGAGCGTGTGGGTCTCCGAGTGCACGGTCTGCAGCTCCTCCAGCGTGGCCTTCCGTCCGCGGATGCACTGCAGGGACACAGGGAGAGGCCGCTCACCCCAAGACCAACACCCGAGGGAGCCCACCTCCACACAGGACCAACCTACCAAAAGCCCCTAACACAGCATTAACCCACAGACGGCCTGCCCCCTCATGACCGCCTGCACAGAGCCGGAGGAGTGACTCCTGGCCTTCAGCTCACTCCTACCACAGCCACACCAACGGTGACTTGGCTCTTGCGTGGCCAGCGTGACCAGCTTCCACACAACGCCCCCTACTGCCCTCCCCTCCAGATCTGAGTGGGCCTCTGAGCAGGGGGCGAGGCTGAGAGCAGAGGGGCCGGGGAAGCAAGGGGCCTTGTTCCTGGCATGCAGGAGTCTTCTTGCTGCTGCCCAGCAGGGCCGCCCACACCCTCTGGGTCCCGGGGTGGGAAGATCTTTCACCCATGGTTCCTGACCCTTGTCACACTCCCCAGAGATGCAGGGCTAGCTCCTGATCCGACCCACCATTCACTGAACGGGCGAGTACAACACCAGAGCACAGCTGCCGTCTCACGGGGAGACGGCTCTGAGAGTGCCAGGCGCTCCGGGAACAACCGAACCCACGCCAGCGGCTGTCACCGTTTCCCAGTCTTGTCCCTTTGACTCTTGCCCGGCACTAGCACCCACCACACTCTTGCAGGCCTCGGGGTGCCAGCCCGGAGTGGGACTTGGGGCTTCCTGGGCCTGTATACGAGGGACGTGGGGACCCAGCAGCATGCAGCTCCTGGGCGGTCCCTCCTCTGGGCTCACCCAGGTCCATCAAACCAGCACCTCCTCCAGCCTCCATCTGATGCCGTCCACTGTTTCGGCTGGGACAGCAGGGAGGCAGGGGTGACCTGGGTCCCTGGGGTGACTTTTACTGGCCAGCAGCGCAGCCCCTCGTGGGTCTGCCTGCAGGCAGGGCTTACACGCGGGGCTGGGCCATAGCCCGCCTTGACACAGAGTGTCTCTGGATCCCGGGCACAGGACAGCAGGCCCGTGGCCAGCACAAAGGCCAGAGGATGGGACGAAGTCTCAACACCAAGAGATTCTAGGTGAGACCAGAGGAAGGCTCTTCAGCTACGGGGAGCAAGTGGGGGCGTGCGGTAAGGAGAGCACGGACGCCCCCCACCACCAGGAGGCAGGAGGGCAGGCACACGCACATGTGCCTCATGAGAGCGGAGCAGCGTGAGCTGGCAGGTTACGTGGCAGGACCTGGGCTTGGCTGCACAGGCGGCTCCACTCAGGTACCTGGCACAGGTGTGGTGTGGCCAGCTTCTCTCCCAGCTCCCCCACTCTGCCACCTCAGGAGCCTCTGGGCTCTGGCCAGCAACGCTGTGCTTCCCGGGTAGAGCTCCCACGAGTGCCCATGGGGAGCACACGCAAGTCGAGGGAGTCTGCCCCGTCCCCCCATGCTGCCTGCCCTGCTTCCCACCTTCCCGTCCTGCGGCTCTGATCTGGTCTCATGCTCTCCCGCTTCTCCTGACTCCAGATCTGAGTGGGGCTCCGAGCAGAGGGCGAGGCTGAGAGCAGAGGGGCCGGGGAAGCAAAGGCACTAGTTCTGGCATGCAATCCTCTTGCAGCCTGTGTCCAGAGAGCAATGCTGCCCCCCGGTGGTGGTGAGAGATGAACCTGCTGGCCCTGGCATGTTTCACTAGCTGAGCCACCTGGGGTCACGCTGGAACCCTCCCAGCTGCCCCACAGGGGCGCGCACCAGGTGGCCGAGGTGCCTGCTCAGCTGGCCCAGGTTTCGGGGAAGAGTGCTGGCTCCGTGGGTGCGGTATGGCCACCGTCGTCATCACTGACCCCACACGACCCACTGCCTGGCAAGCGGTGACCACCGGGCACACATTCGAGGTCCCCCTATCCCCTGCCCTCGAGGTGGCGCACCCTGCGGAGCAAGGCCAGGGAGCACATGGGCGGGGAGGGAGCCTCACCTCGCACTGGCTGCGGAGGCCTGTCTCCTGCAGGCGGGACCAGATGCTCTGGATCCTCCCGGCATGCTCGGGGTGGCTGTTGGTGCTGCCACAGGCACACTGGTGCTTCAGCATGAGCGTGTCATACACAAGACCTGCGGCGGGCAGAGCAAGGTCCCCCAGGGCTGGCCCAGGACTTCCCTACAGAGGATGTACAGGGCACCCGGGTCCCTCCTTCCCCCCAGGGCTCCTGGCCACACCGTGGGGCCAATGGAGAGGGGTGACGCACGCCTGGGGAGCCAGGGGGCAGTGGCCTGTGCTCACCTCCAGGAAGCCCGAGTCGGCTCCAACAGCATGGCCTGTCCGGCTCAGGGGCCAGCCTGGGACGGGCTGAGCGACCCCAGGTTCCAAAGAACCAAGGCTGGAACTCTGCCTTTGGTCACTGCATGGCAGCAGAGTCATACATGGGAGAGCACACAGGTGCCCACAGCAAGCCCAAGAGGGCATAGACAGGAAGGTAAGTAGAACCCAGAACAGCCTGGCACCAAGCCACCCACAGGGAAGCTCAGCCACGGGATGAGCACCCCACTAGGGAGGCGGCTGGAGCGGGCAACAGGCAGTGCTCCCAGGCCCCTCGCTGTCCTGGTCATGTCATCCTGCTGCCTAAGCCAGGCCTGCACTGGCTGAGCAGGGCAGGGACAGCGGGGCAAGGTGCAGGCCTTGGGGTCAGGCAGACCAACAGCTGTTCCTGTTGGCCCTGGATGGTGGCCCACCCCACCTGCACCCCATTACTGTGAACTCAGAGGCAAGGTGAGCCCAGACTTAAGGCAGCCCTGAGGCTGTTGCCTCTACAAGCCTGGGCTCGCTGGCTCCCAGCTCCTGGCAGCTAAGGCTCTGGGGAGTCAAGGCCCCGCACTTGGGGGCTTCTGGGGAGTGACAGGACACATGCAGCCCTCAGGACCCGAAAAGACGCAGGGATCTGTGGGCTGTGAACAGCAGGGTGTGCTCACGCACGCCACAGCCAAGGGCTTCAACTGTCCAGGACGGGGAGAGGGCCCCTGCAGGGCACCAGGCTTCTGGCAGGATACCCCGCTGGGCGCGGGGCCCATGCCTGGCCGGATAGGCAGAGCCGTTACCTGTGGTGAAGCGTGGCTTTGCGGGGGGCTCTTGCACAGTCACGGGGAAGGTGGCAGATGCTGGGGAAGACTGCGCCCGTGACAGCGGCCTGTGGCCTCCGAAGGTCACTGGGATGCCCGCAGCCTCCATGGACGCCTGGTAGTTTCTCAGCTGGTGCACGCGCTGCTGCTCTAGGAGCAGGGCTTGCTGTGGGACAAGCACACGGGGCTAGCACACAGGGCTGCGGCTCCCTCCCCCGGCTTCCCACAGGCAGGACACTGGGCCCCCAACTCCCAGGGTGGATGGTGGATGGGGCAAGGCTGTCACGGCATCGGCAGGGGCACTCCAGGGCAGGGTCAGTGTGCCCAGGGCAGCTGAGGCTGGATCTTAAAAGCCAGTTCCGACAGGCCCAGGCTGTCCCTCACCTCACAATGTGTCCCAGTCATTGGGGACCAAGAGGGCCTCGAGGGGTGCCTTGGCTGAGGTGAGGGGAGCAGGGGATGCAGGCTTGGGCAGGTGCAGAAGTGGGCATGGACGGGCAAGGGGATGGGGGCCCTGCACTGCAGCCTCCTCTGTGTGTGCCCAGCCTGGGGCTGTAACGCCCAGCCCCACTCCTGTTCTGCCGGTAAGCTGCTCAGGCTTGGAGTTGGACAGGCATCTGGGGTCACAGAGCTTGGAGGGGCTCTGCCAAGTGTGGACCCCAAGGGGACCCAGGCCGCAGCACCCCTGGGCCCCTGGGGAGCGAAGGAGGTGGAGGCGTTGAAGGCATGGGGCATGGCAGCCTCCTCCTGCAGGACAGCCCGTCCACATCCTCGTCCATGCAGGAGGCAGGCATCATCTCGCTCGTGAGCCCCGCCCCGCATCCCACCTCTCCTGCTGAACAGATGGGGGACTGGGACGCATGGGCCACTCCAGTCCCAGGTGGAAAGTGGGCACTGTCCCAGGGCTTCGGGCCGAGGGGCCAGGGGACAAGCCCCCTCAGGCTCCCTGGCTTGTGCCGTGGGCTGCATAGAACAGACCAGCTCTTCCTCCTGAGTGAAAGCCACTCTGTTGTCCACAGGCCAGCGGCTCCCTTTGGGATGTGATCCCTTCGGGAGCCCTTTCCCACCACACATCACCAGCACGTTGCACTTCAGTTCCAGAAGATCTGCCTTCCGCACCAAGCCTGAGGGCCCTCCCAGTGTTCTGCAGCAACTCATGAGCAGGCAGCAGGGCCAGCGGCCACAGGCTGCCTGATGGCACACCAGTTCCACTGGACTCTGTGCAATGCTCTGGGTGCCAATACAACGGGCCCACACTAGAGATGAGTGCCCCTCTCAAAGCAGAGGCTGGGGAGGTGTGGCCTGCTCCTGATGAGGGAACCCAGAGAAGTCTCAGGCGCTGCCAGGTGTCACAGGCAATTTGGGGCACGTGAGCTGCCCTCACAGCTCCCCAGGATCCCCGTGCTCCGGCTAGCTCTCCATCTGGGTCATCTACCTTAAGCGTGGCTTGAAGCCAGCTGTGGCCCAGGCCACTGTCCTGCGGACCCACTCCACCCTCCAGGCAGGGTGTGACTTCCACATCAGGTAGAGGCAGCATGGGTGTGAAGGACAGTGTCCCATCTGTTCCCATGGCCCCAAACCAGTGGTCCCTGGGCACTCAGTCCTGCCACTGGGACTCCCGCGGGCGGCTGATGCCCCACCGTTCCTGTTGACTCGGCGGTCTCATTTCTGCCTGTAGTTAACCAGCGTCTGTGAGCTTGGCTCAGTCTCAGTATCCACATGGTCCTCACGCCAAAGGCCCCTGATTCTGACCAGGCATGCCTGCCTGATCAACAACCCAGACTCTCCCCGACTCGGGCAGTAGAGGGAACTGCATCTGGGAACCCCAGACATGTGAGCCTGTGGAGTGTGGAAAGCGAGTGCATGCACAGGCACCACACACGTACACACATACATACTGACATGTACACACATACATACTGACATGTACACACACACATACTGACATGTACACACACATACTGACATGTACACACATGTACACATACACACTGACATGCACACATGCACACACGTACATACTGACATGTACACACGTATACACATACACACACTGACATGTACACACATACACACATACATACTGACATGTACACACATGTACACAATACATACTGACATGTACACACATACATACTGACATGTGCACACATGCACATACGTACACACATACATACTGACATGTACACAGACATGCAGAGACATGTACACACACATATATACACACAGAGACCACCCAGATATACACACATACATAGACATACACACCCAGACACACATACACACAGACACACCCAGACAGACACACATACACACACAGACACACCCAGATAGACACACATACACATGTACACACAGACACACCCAGACACACAGACACACCCAGATAGACACACATACACATGTACACACAGACACACCCAGATAGACACACAGACACATACAGGCGCAGCTGAGTCAGAACAGCTCCAGGTAAACAGAGGCCTGACGGCAGCAGGGTGCCCTCCCACGACGCCCACCTGTCTGAAGAGCAGCTCCTGCTCCGTGGGCTGCCGCTGGCCAGGCTCTGCCCCCTCTTCGTCACTGTCGATGGGCTCCTGCTTCACATGCACGCCAGCCGAGGCCTGTGCCTCCTTCGGCCCGGAGAGCCGGTCCAGGTAGGGCTGCTCCAGCAGGGCCTGGTGCTCACGGAGCTCCTCCTCCGTCTCCTCGGGGTGGCTCTCAGGCTGCCGTGCTGGCTCGCTCGGTTTGGGGATAATCTGTCAGGCCACAAGTGGATCAGTGTGAGTGGGTCACCAACCCCTCCAGGCCTCAGAACACAGCCCGAGGCCAGCAGGTGTCACTCCACCCATCCCAAGCGCCGGGTGCTGTCCACGGTGCTGAAGATGGGCTGCCCAGGGCAGGGGTGTTAGAAGCCTCTCCTGTGTGCCAGCCAGGGACCTGGGAAGAGGCTGCAAGGGTCACCTGGCTGCTGCCCCCAGAGCTGTAGCCAAGACAAATGCCACCACCCATGGGAGACATTGATGCCCACACGTCCCAGGGACACCTGTGTCCTCCTGGGCCCCTCGACGCTATGGGGGGGGCAGGCACCTCCCTCTGGCTACTCCCGTCCTCCGCCTGCTCGCTGCTCCCTCTCCCCTGTGCATCCAGGGCCTGCTCGTGGTGCCCCCTCGTGGCCACGCACGGGCTTGATGTCCAGCCAGTCACACCTCAACTTGGCTAGCCTTACAGCTTTTCCAGTTTATCTTTCTAGGTGTGCTTCTCCATATTTGTCCCACTTGATCTTGGGATCTGCAACGGTCTCTCACCCATTCTGTCTCCCTCAGCCCTGAACTTCAGCAGGATGGTTCAGGGATCTTCAGAACCATTGGGGGACTGTGCTGTCTACGCCAGCAAAGGGCGCTGGGCAGGCCTTCAAGACTATCTGGCCGGACCGCAGCTGCCCCCTCACTGCCCCAGGCCTGGTGCAGTTGGCCAGGATCCAGGAGTGGGGACAGGGAGGCTGGCAGAGGGCCACGGAGCGCTTCGGACAGGGGCACGAGAGTGGACTTCTGAAAGGGGGGTCCAAAGCAAGCTCCCAGAAAGGAGGCTCAGAGAGCAGGTGGGGTCCTCAGCACAGCGGCCCCACGAACCCCAAGAACAGCAGCATGGGCGCGGCCCAGCAAACAGGCTTCAGCATGCTGGGAGCTGGGCAAGGGCCTGGCATATCCCACGGGGCAGGAGGCAACACAGGGAGTCCTAGACAGGGCCAGGGAGTGGTCACTACCCCAGGACAGGGAAGGGGCTGGGTCAACTTAGCCTAGGAGGTTCATTTCCAGGAGCTGGGCAGGTTGAGCAAGAGGACAGATTGAGTGTGGGTCAGGGCAACGGTCAGGGGTCAGAGACCAGCGGGGCAGACAGGGTGTATAGGGATACACTGATACATCTGTGCGCACACACACACACACATGGCACAGGACATACATCACACACACAGGGTGCATAGGGACACACACAGCACAGGACACACATCACACACACAGGGTACACAGGGACACGCCATCACACACAGGGTGCACAGGGACACGCCGTCACACACACAGGGTGCACAGGGACACTCTGTCACACACAGGGTACACAGGGACACACCGTCACACACACAGGGTACACAGGGACACTCCGTCACACACACAGGGCCCAGGACACTCCATCACACAGGGTACACAGGGACACACTGTCACACACACAGGGTGCACAGGGACACTCCGTCACACACACAGGGCCCAGGACACTCCGTCACACAGGGTACACAGGGACACGCCGTCACACACAGGGTGCACTGGGACACGCCATCACACACAGGGTGCACAGCGACACTCCGTCACACACACAGGGTGCACAGGGACACTCCGTCACACAGGGTGCACAGGGACACTCCGTCACACACACAGGGTGCACAGGGACACTCCGTCACACACACAGGGTGCACAGGGACACGCCGTCACACACACAGGGTGCACAGGAACACGCCGTCACACACACAGGGTGCACAGGGACACGCCGTCACACACACAGGGTGCACAGGGACACGCCGTCACACACAGGGTGCACAGGGACACTCCGTCACACACAGGGTACACAGGGACACTCTGTCACACAGGGTGCACAGGGACACTCCGTCACACACACAGGGTGCACAGGGACACGCCGTCACACACACAGGGTGCACTGGGACACTCCGTCACACACACAGGGTGCACAGGGACACGCCGTCACACAGGGTACACAGGGACACGCCGTCACACACACAGGGTACACAGGGACACTCCGTCACACACACAGGGCCCAGGACACTCCGTCACACACACAGGGTGCACAGGGACACTCCGTCACACACACAGGGTGCACTGGGACACGCCATCACACACACAGGGTGCACAGGGACACTCCGTCACACAGGGTACACAGGGACACGCCGTCACACACACAGGGTGCACAGGGACACTCCGTCACACACAGGGTGCACAGGGACACGCCGTCACACACACAGGGTGCACAGGGACACGCCGTCACACACACAGGGTGCACAGGGACACTCCGTCACACACACAGGGTGCACAGGGACACGCCGTCACACACACAGGGTGCACAGGGACACGCCGTCACACACACGGGCACAGGCATGCCTACACACATGCACACATACTGCTGCACCTGCAGATGTGGGCCACTCGTGCAGACACAGACACATGCCTGTAGGTAAACATTGATTCACACACAGTGAAGAACCAATAACACATCTGGCCTCAAACCAGGAAAGGGAGGAGGGAAAAAGTTGTTGGGGTTACTGCCCCCTCCAGAAGCAACCCAGAACCCGCCTGCCACCTGCTGGTACCCAGGACCCTGTGACAGCCCGGAAGGCTCTGCCCTCAACAGCTCTACGCGCCCGGGGCAGTGTTCCATGGCAGAGCCGAGAGTGCTCTTGGGGAGGGCACACAGCAGGGCAAGGCGAGGCCTGGGCCCGGCCCTGAGGAAGCAGGAGATGGAGGGACGGCAATGGCCAGGGCTGGTGGCTTGGACCTTGTGCGGGGGTTGGGGAGGTGGGCAGTGGCTGTGGGTCTCACTTTCTGCTGGCTCGGGCAGTGCGGAGGACTCAGTGACGGTGAGCCACTGCCCATGCCGGCCCCTGCGCCCCGGCCCACCTGGCCCAAGTGCAGCTGGAACTGCTGCTTGTGCTTCTCCAGGAACTGCTGGTGCTGCTGCTGGATGACCAAGTGCTGCAGCGCCTGCGCGTTCTGCGGCAGCGGCGCCGACTGCGTGCGCCCCAGCGGGCGGTGGTGCTGCCGCAGCTTGTGGATGGAGGGGGACAGCCGGTCTGCGCCAACCAGGGACTGTGCGTGGAGGGGCAGTGCTCCCAGGCCTGAAAGACACCAGTCTGAAGATAATACGGAGGACAATGCAGCAGAGCAGGGAGAGGAAGTGAAGGCTGCTGAGTAAACTGATGGTGGCCTGGGCGGGTATCTGCCAGCCCTAGTGCCCACTTCCTTGCCCTTGTGAGCTATCCTGCAGCCCGGGCCGCATGGCTGCTGGAGCCCAGAGGCCCTGCCTGGGCTTCACGGGAAGCAGACGGAGGCCTGGGGGCAATGCAGCAACAGCCGTGTGTCCAGGTCGCTAGCTCAGTTGGCAAGCTCGGGATGCAGCCCCAGCCAAGCAAGGCCCCAGAAGGTCAGCATCGTTCCGGGGGTGTCCTGCTGAGCAGGGAGTGGCTGTGCCCAGGAGCTGCCCTGCCCTGCTGGCTCCCAGTATGGGCGCTCCTGAAGCAAAATGAGGGAGAACACACTGTCCTTGGGCTCAGGTCACAGCAAGGGCCTCTCCCTGCACTGAGTCAACACAGTAGACAGGAGACCTGGTCACACGAAGCCCGAGGCCAGGTGCTGCAGGAGTGCCTGTGGGGGGCTGCAGCCCAGGCCCTTCTGTGGCCATCAGGGACAAGGCTGGGTGCTCGCCCGCCCGTGCCCTGCGGAAAGGAACCTGCTGTGAGGGCAGGCACTCCGGTCCTAGCTGTGCTTGTGTCCTGCTCCGAGGCACCCCGTTTTCCCTGTTGCACACGTCTCCTGGACTCTGCTTTTGTTTCTTGCAGATTGTTGGTGGGGGGGAGCCTGCCATTTTCCCAGGACATTCTGATGGAGCCTGCCCTTGGGAGCCTGCCAGGTCTGAACCCCGACCCCCGACCCCCGGGGGGCAGTGGTGTCATGGTCAGATGTCTTCAACTGGCTGAGGGCTCATGAGCCCAGGTGTCTGAGCTCTGTGTCACCTCGCCCAGGGTGGGTCACAGGCAGTGTGGGGTGGCTTCAGGGATGTCCCTGGCAGGGCAGCCGCATGGCCAGGCAGGTGGCCTTCAAGCGCCTGGGAGCTGTTTGTTTCCTGCTGTTTCTCGTGGCCCTTGGGGGGAGGTAAGCTCTTAATGTGGCAACTGCTGCTCATGCGTGGAGCTGCCCCCTCCCCCGCTCCTGGGAGGCAGGGCAGTCTGAGCTCCGAGTACCCGGGACCTAGATGGCACCCAGGGGCGAAGAGGGTGCCTGTCACGGCCACTGCCCTGCCAGGAGCCCCATCTCGGCAAGCAAGGGGAGCTGAGATGGGCTTCCCTGAGGGTTCGTGCCCAGGTTGAGGCCTTGCGGCCCCATGGGCACAGGGCAGGGCTCTGCTTCCTCCCCGTTGGGCCCCACGGCACTCACCTGCGACAGGCGGTTGCTCCAGCAGCACCATGTGCTGCAGCAGCGGGCTGTGGGCTGCCCCGTCGCGCTCCAAGGGCGAGGTGCTCAGGTATGGGGCCAGGTGGGAGCCGGGGAAGAGTGAGATCCGCTGCTGGAGGGCCGGGAGCGCCAGCCTGTCGGCGTCTGGTGGCGTGGCGGCACCCTGGGGAGCACAGCCGGAAGCTGCCGCTGAGCTCCAGGCCGGGCCCCCCCCCCCCCCCGGGGCCCCGAGGGAGTACTTACAGCGGCAGGGCCGGTGGCAGGAAGTCCCAAGGTAATGTTGGGCAGGGACGGGGACGTGTAGAGGGGGAGTGGAGCCAGTGAGCCGTCCCGCGTCACCAGCCTGTGCGCCAAGCTGGCCTGCAGACGCAACGGGCCAAGGTCACGCACACCCCAAGGCACGGCGTAGTGACATCACTTTGCCCAGACCAAGCCAGCAGCACACCAGGCAGGCCGTGCCCCCGCCTGACCTGAGGCCTCAGGCCTCTGGCCCAACCTCTCCCTGTCTCGTGCAAGAGCAGAGGGCACAGCAGGTGTATGGGGTGCATGTGGTGGACACAGGAAGCTCTTCCCAAACATGGCATCAAAGTCAGGAAACAGAAAACTGAGCCTGTAAAAGGTGATGATGTGGCCCGCCAGGCGACGTGCAGGACCTAGGTGCCAGCCAGAGCGTCCTGGCAGTACAGCACAGGCTGCAGGGAGCACTCTGTAGCCAAGGACGCTGAGGCACCTGGCATGCTGCCACACTGCACAGAGGGGCAGGCGACTCAGCTCTGAGCAGTAAACCTTCAGCGTGACCTGGCCTTTGATCTTACAAAGAAACAGCTGGAGTGTGACAGAGTAGCTGGCACTGGTGACAGAAGGCCTGGAGGGCAGCTGCCCAGGTACAGTGTGAATGAGGACGCATGCAGTCGGGCACCACAGGCTCAGAGCAAGGCTGCAGCAGCCAGAGTGGAGGGCCAGAGGAAGGGCAGGTGCCAGCACCTTCTGTAGGCCAGGGGAGTGTGTGCTAAAGTGGACAGTGGTTCCCTACACATCTGCTCAGCCAATAGAGTCAGCTTGCTTCCTCCTCTAATCAAGTTAGAGAGAAGAGGGAGTGAGAAGGGTCTTCCATCTGCTGCCTCACACCCCAAAGGCCTCAGCAGCTAGGGCTGGGCCCACCAGGAGCCAGGAGCGTCTTCTGGGTCTCCCACACGGGTGCAGGTCCCAAGGGTCCCTGGGTCAGCTGCTTTCCTAGACCATTAGCAGAAAGTTGGATGGGAACTAACGCCCACAGGGGATGCTGGCATCATGAACAGCCTGGCTTTCTTCCCCACGTGCCCCTTTGCACCTTTACACCCTGACACACACAGCTGTGTATTCTCACTCAGGAGGCCCTGCCTGTCTCCTGGTCCCAGATACACTCCCTTGTTCAGCTCAAGATAGCAGTGACAGGTGCTGTCCTAGACCAGAGGCTGTTGTGTTGTTCCCCAGGGAGAATGGACCAAGGGTGCCAGGCAAGCAGGGCTGCCACATGCCAGCAGGCACGCCAAGGACGGCACGCTTGCTCTTCCCTACGCCCAGGACTGCCACCTGTATTTTCACACTAAGCAAGCAAGCCCACATGGGCAGTGCCTCACGCATGGTCCTTAGGAGCCCAGAGGGATCGCCAGCTGCCCAGGGCAGGCGCTGGGGCCTCCGAATAGACAAGCCTGCACTGGGAGGCAGCTCCAGAGTTGAAGGGGAGCAGGCTCTCGGCCAGGGCCTCAGCTCGCAGGACTGGAGGCGGGCTGGGTGTGGGGAACAAATTTCTCTGGTCCAGGTACGGCAGGTTCAGCCAAGGGTAGCATGGAGAGTGAGCGGGGGACCCCTGCTCCTGCCGGGCCTCCCCAAAGCAGACAGGCTCACCAACGTGCAGCAGAATTCCTGTGTGCCCTCCATGGAAACACGCTCTGGGAGGGGTCTGTCACTCAGGCAAGGCGAGCGCCCCCACCTCAGCGGGACAGCCAGGCAGGTACTCAGCTGCAGCTCTGGCAGGGACAGGCACAGGCATGGAAGCTCACTGACCTCAGTGGGGACACTGGGTGTGGCCGGCACGACGCCGTTCTCGGAGCTGACATTCCCGGAGCTGTTGTTGGGTGAGCTGGGCCCAGAGCCTGGGGCGCTGCTACAGGCGGAGTCTGCGGAAGGAGAAAGGGCAGCCTGAGCCCAGCCTGCGGGACACGGCTGCCTTCAAGGCTCCTGCTGCGGGACCTGGGCTGGCAGGAAGGAGCGGTGAGGCTGGCACCCTGCCTGGGCTTCCCATGGTCTGTGTGCGTTCACGCTGTTAGATCCAGGCATGCTAAGTAAGCAGTGCTGAGCGGAGGATGTGAGCCACCGGGCAGACAAGCCCTTGGTGACCACTCCGGCTCCAACAACACGCGCACACAGCCGCAGACGGGGGACTGCGCTCGCTGGAGATGTCTCCATGTGGACAATCTCGTGCTCGCCATCACGGGAGGAAGGCAGATCCCATGAGCCTTCCACGGTCCGAGGGGCTCAGCCCTGGCGCACGGGGGAGCTGCACTTGGCGGGCGGGTGGCCACTGCCACCATGGCTGCCTGGTTGAAGTCCCTGCAGCTCTTAATGCTAACATAAGGCTTCCTGGAGCTTTGTACATTTGGTTTAAGGGCTGCTTATAACAACAGCCTCATCTGAGAAGACCTCGGGTGGCTACAAGACCCCAGTGGGAGTGAGACGTGAGCTTTGTGCTCTGAAGACTCCAGGTGTGGGGCACCAGGTGGGGCTGCAGCAGCAACAGCGGGTGCAGTGACAGGCGAGACCACCACACACACGCACGCTCACTCTGCTCAGCCCATGCAGCACCGGCTGGAGAAGACTCCAGAACCTTCCAGGGGCGGAGTGGGCAGGAACACAGGCTCACGTTTAGCAGGGCTGGGCAAGACCCACCCTCAGAGACCTCGGCTCCCAACCCCAGCTGACCATTCCATCACGCACCACACAGCAGCCATGGTCCCGGGCCGGCAGTTCTGTGCAACCGGCCTGAGGAGCCCAGGCCTGGCGTGTCACAGTGTGGCCAAGCAGACCAGGTAGACAGTCTTTGGAGGTGCCAGGGAGGGCCCTAGCACGGCACGACAGCCCTGCTGCCCGCGGTACCTGTAACATCCAGTGGGCGCTTTTTGAGAGCAGTGACCACAGGCCCATCCTTCCTGCGGAGCAGCGGGCTGCTCCGCCTCTCAGCCACTTTCTGTTTCAGCCGGGATCGCAGTTTCAGGTTGGGTTCAGAAGCTGCAGAGAGGAGATATGGTCAGCCGGGAGGCAGCTCAGCTCCCAGGCAACGGCCAGCACTGCGGGCACATGCTGACAAGCAGGCATGTGTTCTGCGGGCACGTGTGGGAGGTGCCTGCACAGGCAGGGGTCACGTCCAACTACCTCAGCTTCCGGGCATGACGGGGAATGGGGAGGGGTGCAGCCACACTGTGGGGACATCTCTCACAACGCTCTCCTGAAGACAACCGGTGCCTTACCGCAGGGCGAAGAAGGACCAAAGTGCCTCGGCTCAGGTCCGTGAGCAGTACTGCGCTCCTGAACCTCACGCTGCCAAAACGTGTTTTTTGTTTTTTTTTTTGAAAGGCAGAGAGATGGAGAGATAGAGAGAAATCTTCCATTCATGGGTCTGGGCCAGGCCGAAGCCAGGAGCAAAGAAGTGCCACCCGGGCCTCCCAGGTGGCAGGAGTTGAAGTGCTTGGGTAGGGTCTGCTAGCCCTTTCTGCCCCCGCTCCAGCGAGGCCTGGCAGGAGTGGGTTGGAGGCGGGGCAGCCAGGCCTTGAAGCAACACTGAGGCCTGAGACACCAGATCGCAAATGGCACATGAACCTGCTAGGTTACAATAGCCACCATACCAGCCCTGCCCACCACATGCCCATCACAGCCATGTCATTGAGGGCCCATGACTGCAAGGCAGAAACCATCTGCCAGGGCTTCCAGCAGCCCTTGCAAAGGGCGAGTGGGGTCCCAGGGGCACGCAGCCCTGCCCTGCCCATCCCGGAGCCCAATGTTGGGCTGATGGCAGGGCCAGAGCTCACACGGGGCTCAGTGAGTGCGTGACACACAGCTCAGACCATAGCGAACGTGCAGGACAATGCCAAGCTGGGAGCTGGTGGTCACCTCTGGTCACCCTTTGGGGCCAGGACAGAGGGCAGAAGCTCTGCATCTAACCCTGTGACCCCAGCTGGGCTACCCTGCCTGGGGGAAGGGCCTGGGCCCTGCTAACCTAGGGCACAGATGCTGGGGCATGGCGCCTTGCTTGCTGGGGCCATCAGCGCCAGAGCTCCAGGGACACAGGACGGGGCTCAATGACCAGAGCTCCCTGTGGGAGGGGCCTGCATTGCCCAGCAGTCTCGGCCAGCCCTGGCTGCCAGCACAGAGATCTGCCACACACAAGGGTTCCAAAGCGCGTGCTCCCCACAGGGCACCGAGAGCTCCTGCCTGGGGCACTCGTGGGCAGACTGGGGCACGCAGCTAGACGCTCTCTTGGCCCCAAGTCACTAAGGAAGACGAGCGGAGTTGGCGTATGACTCTGTCTCCTCTGATTTCTGTGCGCATCTGAGGGCGCCCGCCGAAGCCGGCAGCACCGTCCTGCTGGGGTAGGCTTGGCCCCACGCCCTTCTCGCCGTGCTTCCACTTGGCACATGGTGGAGGACCAGCAGGCAGGCCGTCTGCAGGACAGCCGTGTGAGTGGGGGACAGTCCCCAGTGCCTCACAGCGGTCCTCGCAGGAAGCTGTGAACTTGGGTATCAGAAGGCACAGTGAGAAGGGCAGAGCCAGGCTCCTGCTTCTAAGGGAAGAGGCCTGAGGGGCTGCTGTTGCCCAAGTCTTGGGGAGCCCAGGACCACCCAGCAGCCTTTGCCAGCTCATACGCAGCAGCAGGCACCTGGCCTGGCTGTCGCCTGGGTCCCGGCTGCTCCACTTCTGGCCCTGCCCCGCCCGACGGCCTCCCTGTGGGTGGTGAGGACGAAGCTCAGGCTCCAGCTGGCCAGGGCCAGCCCGCCGTTGCAGCCATCTGGGGAATGGACCAATGCAGGAAGCTATCTCTCTCTGCAACACTGCCTTTCACATAAATCAACCCATTTTTTTTTAAAGATTTATTTTATGTTTTATTGGAAAGACAGATATATAGAAAGGAGATAGAGAGAGGAAGATCTTTCATCCACTGGTTCACTTGCCAAGTAGCTACAATGACTGGAACTGTGCCAATCTGAAGCCAGGAGCTTCTTCTGGGTCCCCCATGTGGGTGCAGAGTCCCAAGGCTGTGGGCGTCCTCCACTGTTTTCCCAGGCCACAAGCAGGGAGCTGGATGGGAAGTGGAGCATCTGGGATATGAACCAGCGCCCATATGGGGTCCACTAGGCTATTGCGCTGGGCCCTCATATAAATCAATCTTTAAAAAGAGTATTTCTTGGGAGCTCGAGAGGCAGAGTAATGGAGAGAGGAATCCCAGGTGCCGCCAACTTGCGTGCTAAGCGACAAAGATGCGTGTGGCTCTCGGTGCCTCACGGCTCATGTCACACAGGGCATCCTCTTCATGGAACTGACTGTCATCTACCAGAGATATGGAGTGAGGGAGAGTGCTTCTGTGGGCTGGCTCACTGCCTGCATTCTGCAACGCAAGGGTCAGGGCTGGGCCTGGCTCACTCACAAGTCCCACACTCAGTCCACATCTCCCACGCACCAGGAAGGGGCTTGAGCAACTGGGCCAGTATCCTCTACCTCCCAGGATGCACTGGGAGGAAGCCATGCTGCTGGGACTTGGGGGGGGCAGGTGCATGTGGGGCGCGGGTCCCACGGTCAGAACCCACAGCCCGACCCTGTGACCTCAGGCTAGGTGCTGGGGGAAGGAGACCCCAGGTGACAGGTGCAGCCCCAACAGGAAAGCAGAGCTGGGTCAGAACTAGGCTCTGGGGTCTAATGCAGCCCAGATCTAGAAGGGTCTGTCTGGTTCTGAGCCAAGCAAAGAGGTGGCAGTGCTGCATGGCAGGGGACTGACTGGGAGCCCAGGCTGCCAGCAACTGGTCACAGGAAATGTAGGGGCCAGCAACATGTGAGAGCTCCAGACAGAGCCGAGTCCTCTCCTGCACTGAACAGACAGCTCCTTCCCATCTCGGGAGGTGGCAGGCCGCAAGGATGTTCTCTCGGTGACCCAACTGAGCTCGAAGGTCTCTGTATCTCCCCAGATGGACAGTGCAGGGCGACCTCAGCAGCCCTGGCATGCGAAGGCCCAGATGGAGGGAGGCCACGGGCTGCCACAGGGAATCTGAGGCTCGAGGCGTGCCGTAGTCAGCCAGGCAGCATCCACCCTTTCCCATTATGTTGGGGTGTGTGGCCCCCAAACAACCACGTCCACTTACTGCTGGAAGCCCACATGGGGAAGTGCCTGCATGCCAGTCCTGACAGAAGCACAGGCATGAGCCACCCAGCATCCAACACTCCGAGGGTGACACCCCGCAGGGGACTCTCCACACTGCTGACATGCGGGGGAAGCCCCTGGCAGCAGAGGGACTGTGTCTCAGGCCTTGGGGACTGCTGCATGTGGGCGCTCTTCCTCTGCACCTTTGGGGGGTGAGGCCGTAGCACACGTGCCTGAAACCTGGCTCCCCACAGGCTCGCACAGGGGTCCAATCGCACAGCTACACAGCATGGGGCTGGCCAGACTGGCAGCTCTGAGGGCCAGCAGCAGGACAAAAGTGCCAGCTCACAGCCCCCGTGCCACATCCCCAGGGGCTTGCTACAGACTGTTCCTGCCGCTCCACATCCCACTGCAGGACACTGCCTCGGGGTTCAGACACAAGAGCAAAATGAAGCGCACGGTGGCCAACTGGCCTCATGGCTGCAGGTCTGTCCACAGCCCTGGCCCAGCTCTGCCCTCTGCAAGGACCCATGGGGCATGGGGGAAGAGTCATGGGTACTGTCGGAGGACTGCACATGAGTGAGCACCAGCTCCTCCATGCCTTTCCACACTGCTGCCTGCTCAGCCCGGGCACCTGGGGCATGTGCGGTCAGCGCAGCTGGAGGACCTGTGGAGGGGCAGCACTGACCTGTCTTCCGCAGAGGAAAGTCGTCTTTGGTGTCATACAGGCCCAGGACCGGGTGCTTGTAGGAGGCAGACGCCCCACTCTGGGGCGGGGAGCTCTGGTCCAGGGAGCTGTGCTGCGTTTTCCTGGGGAAAAGGCAGAGACGGGGCTGAGTCCACCCAGGGCACCGCCCAGCTCACACCAGGCCGATGCGGTCCATGCAGGGCCCTGCAGCCTCCTGGACACACTCATCCTGAGCCCAGGGGCAGGCAGAAAGCAGCAACCGACGAGGCAGCCAGGCCTCGCCCCATGCCCCCCATGCGCTTGGCGCTGGGTAGGCGGGCCCTGGCCTCACTACTGCACATGCCCAGGGGGGCATGCCTCACCTGGGGGCTCCCGCAGAGCCCCTCCTCTCAGAGCATCGTGGGAAGTCCTGGAATTAGCTTTCAGATCGCATCCTCAGCCAACTGCCACGGGACAGCTGGGGCCTCGCCTACACTCCCTGAATACACATAGCGGCCCATGTATCCACAGCGCGTGCTTGAAAAACGGTCAGCTGACTGAGGGTAAATATCCCCAATAAGCGGATACATATTATTGCTACTACAACTGCAGGAGTTTGTTTCTGATTAAGGTGGAGTAGGAATGGCTGCATTACTCTAAGAGCTAACAGATTTTCTCTCCCGCAGTGCTAGCTCTGGTGGAACCCTCCCTTTTGTCAAACCTTAGGTGAGCTAACCACCAGGCCCCAGGGCCTCGGAGCTCGGTGAAGAGTGTTCCCACTGCCAAGGCCAGCTCAGGTGGCCGGGGTGTGGCTGGCACATCTCAGCGGGGCTGCCCCCACAAGGCTGGTCGCTTGGGAAGAGGATTACATGTGGCACACATCTCACTTCCCTGACCACGCCTGTTCCCAACCACAGCAAGGGCTGAACTTCGGCCTATCCTGGGTAAAGAAGGTTCTGGAAGTCTGAGATGCATGCTAGCTGCCCCGTCTCACACACGTGCACACGGTCCCACAGAGCACACGGCTCGGCCGCACCGCACCCGTCTCACACGTGTTCACACATCTCCCAGCACACGGCTCTTGCGAGGGCTGTTCACACCCTGCAGCCTCCAACCTGGCCCTGGCCTTCTCTCCACCCTACTCCTCAGCCCGGGGAAGCAGACCAAGAGGCCAGGGAAGGCTGCTGCCTGGCGAGCTCAGGGCGAGGACTGAAAAGGCTGCAAGTCCTGCCCATGTGCGACCACAGCTCAGGAATCCACTGAGAAACTGGCCCACGTTTAGGACAAGCCCTTCCCAGACAGGGGGCAATGTCCAGCAAGACCCCGTGAGCAGGCAGACGCAGGTCCCAGCTAAGCAGGGCACACCTCACAGCCCCACTGGCCAGGTGTTGGCTGGGGCACCATCCCGGAAGCCATGGGCAGTTTCCAGAGATGGCACTCACCTTCCTCGTGGCCTCGTTTTGGACTGACGCCTTGCACCTGCTAACCCAAGTGGCCCAGGCAGTCTCGACCTGCTCTCCCCAGGGCTGCACAAAGTGTCTCCGCGTCCTCTTCAAGTCCCACTGCCTCAGCCCTGCCTCTGGCCTGGACATGGTCCCTGGGTGCGGAAGGCAGCTCTGGCCATGAGCGCCCCTGTCAAGACCCGCAGCCCCTCTCATGGCACCGAGGGCTCAAGGCATGGGGACGGTCAGTGAGCTCTCTGCGACGTCTCAGGCCCAGGGCAGCAGGCACTACAGCGCTCCAGCCTCACAGGGAGCACTGGTGTCCGCCTGGGCCCCGTGTCTCCCTCTTCCTCAACACCCCTCAGTAGGTGCAGAACCTGAAGCACCACATCCTCTTGGCTGGCTGGAGTCAGTCAGACAGGAAGTGGACTCCCAGGAGGCGTCATTCAGACAGGAAGTGGGCTCCCAGGGATCAGCCAGACAGGAAGTGGGCTCCCAGGGGTCATTCTGACAGAAAGTGGGCTCCCAGGGGTCAGCCAGACAGGAAGTGGACTCCCAGGGGGTCAGCCAGACAGGAAGTGGGTTCCCAGGGGTCATTCTGACAGGAAGTGGGTTCCCAGGGGTCAGCCAGAAAGGAAGCGGTCCTTTCCACTAACTGGCTAGACTGGAGGTGGCCCTCCTGCACACCTGATCGCCTCTCTGCCAGCTGCATGTGGGGCCTCAGTCTGCTCTGTGTCCAGGTGTCCTCCAAGAGGCCCATGTGGTCCCTCACTGCCCCAGCCCCACAGGGCCAGGTCAGTTGGTGGGGAAGCTATGGAGCCTCCCTCCTGCGCCAGACTCAGGGCAGCCCACACCCTGTGCCTGTCTCGTGCCTCAGATCCTCCAGGTCCCCACAGACCCTGGGGACCAGAGATGGGCATCCCCAGGCACCGATGGGCCCTTCTCTCCTGGACACGCTGCCTCACTGCTGTTCTCGCTGCTTGTTCTTGACTACCCCGTCACAGTCTGCTCAGTGAGTTTCTGAGTCGTGGTGCCCAGGATGGGTGCTGCTGGAGTGGACCTGCCGTGTGCCATGGCCAGAGGGCTCCGAGGCAGCTGATGAGTGGGAATGGCCAGTCCTCTGCTAACTGGTCCAGAACAAACCGGTGGGCTCGCCTAGCGCTCGACAGGACCCAGGCTCCTCTGAGGGTCTGCTCTGGGGGCTCTGGCATAAACACAACGAAACACACAAGGGCTTTCCTGCCTGCCCAGAGCAGCAGTACAACACCAGGCACACACCTGGCAGAGGCCCATGCGTGGCCTAGAGCACGTGCCAGTGTCCGTGGCTCCCACTGTGGCTGGTCAGGGTGCACACAGGCCCAGAGCGTGGGCAAGGGCTCCAGGAACCACACGAGTTCCTCTGAAGACTGCCCAGGGCTATACCCTCTGGCAGGCGTCTCAGTGGCACACAGCGCCAGGGAGCCCCAGGCGTGCGACAAGCTCACTCTCCCAGGCCACTTACCCGTACCAGTAGCGGGGGTCACTGGAAATGCACTGGTTCAGGTTCCTGTGGGCCAGCGCCTTCTTCTTATTGAGAACAAATTCTTGCAATTTCATCTTCACCTCTGTGCTGGCCACAGCACCTGGTGTAGGGCAGACACCTGGGTGAGGCCGAGCTCAGGGAAAGGGGCGCTGAGGGAAGCACAGGGTGCCACGAGCAGGAAGGGGTGGAGGTGGCAGTCTGTCCTGTGGGTGATGCCTCGGGGCATAGCGGAAGGGCTTTCTCCCACCCAGAGTTCATGAAACCACCAGAATGCAATGTGTCAGAGAGGACCGTGAGCTCTCAGTGCTGGCTGCTGCATGCAGAGTCCTCCCCTGGAGGACCGTGAGCTCTCAGTGCTGCCTGCTGCATTCAGAGTCCTCCCCTGGACAGAAACGCAGGAGTCCTCCCCTCCCTAACCCCACCCTCCCCAGGGGCTGTCACTGCCCCTGCCCCTCACAGGCCCCGCCCTCCCAGGGGGCCTGTCACTGACCCCATCCCCTGGCAGGCCCCGCCCTCCCCAGGGGCCTGTCATTGACCCTGTCCCCACAGGCCCCGCCCTCCCCAGGGGGCCTGTCACTGACCCCACCCCTCACAGGCCCCGCCCTCCCCAGGGGATCTGTCACTGACCCCGCCCTCTCCCAGGCCCCGTCCCTGCACTCACTCTCTTTGCCTTTCTCCTTGTTCTTGAGTTGCTGCAGCTTCTGCTCCCGGTGTTGTTTCTCCAGCTCCTGCTCCTGGCGATGCCTCTCCAGCTTGCGCTGGTGCTCCAGCAGCTCCTGCTGGTGTTTCATGGCCAGCATCTCCTGCTGCTGCTGCGGGTGGGGCGGCACGATCAGGCCAGCCCACCCTCTGAGAGTAACTCAGAGCAGGAAGCCCCTGACCACCCCCAAGACGGCCTGGAGCTTCCTAATGGGTGAAGCATCTGTCTGTGTCCTAAAGCCAGGAGACCCTCTTTCCCAGGGGCCCTGTGCGAGACAAGGGAGGTGGCTCCCAGTGTCCACCCACCCAGCCACGAGAGGAATCCAGCAGGGACCCATCACATTTAAGACAGGACACTGGCTGGGTGGCCACACATGTCCCAGCCTGCACCCGGGCTAGGAAAGCTGCCTTTGTAACAGATGGAAAACATAAACGCTGAGTGTGAGAAGCCTGCGCGGCCTCTGAGCGTGCGCTGCACGTGACAGCGATGGCGCACACAGGGGCAGAGAGCGCCCACCACGGCGAGAACTTCATCCGCGAGAACTCGCTGCCACAGTTAGCGAGCACTGGACAGGGAGCGGCAGGTGTCCATCAAGCACTACAGCGCTGCTCCCAGTCCTGGGGGCAGGAGGCAGCTGGCAGGTGGCCAGGCAGGTCCTGGGGGGACGGCAGGGGGCACTCTGCCCTTCAATGTGGAAGGACGGAGATGGGCAGAGGCAGTCAGAGTGGCAAGGGGACTGGCAGGAGCTGATGTGCAGGCAGGCTCCTCCAAGCTCTGACACACTTGGAGCCACTCGTTGAGGTAGTGTGCTCACCAGAGACAAAGGGGGAGTGGGTCAGGGCGCAGGGAGCAAGGAGCGGGGAGGTGCGTAACCATCTGACTTGTGCAAGTGTGTAGGGGGTGGGCGGGTGAGCATACGTGGGCATCTGCAGACATGGGCGTCCCCAGTGAACCCCTCCCAGACTGCCCTGGAATGGACACTTGAACAGAGCAGGTCACAGCCCCAGGAGTGGAAGCAGAGAGAGGGCCACCAGGAGGCTCAGAGGGTGGGAGCTGTGTGCCAGCAGGGGTGTGTGTGGGTGTGGGTGTGTGTGGGTGTGCAGAGCCATGGTCCTTCCTGAGCTTCATGGAGGGGACAGGCCGGGTCAGCGTGACACCCTGCTGGTCTGTCAGAAGGAAGACCTGGGCATGCTGCAAGCTCTGAGCCTTGCCAGGGCAACCACCCCCAACGGCCACTGTGGCTCAGCAAACACACCCCTTGAACCTTACACTTCTGAAAAGATGGGGTCCCAAGATGGCCTGGCTGGAGCCCCTCTTGACCAGAGACCTGCAGAGTGCGGGTGGCTGTTCTCTTGAACCTGCGTTTCTTCCTGGGCCAATTTCCCAGGCAGCCCTGTGGTCTGGGGGTGCCGAGGATTCACATGGCTCCCAGGGTCAAGTACAATACCAGAGCTGTTACCGAAACCGGGGTTCAGACTGCTCAGACTCCTTCCTACTCCAGTCACAAGATGCCACCGCGTGCCAAGCACATGCTGTGTGCAAAGGGCCAAGCACATCAAACCCACCATGTTAAGGGAAGAGTTCTCATTCTTTCATTCCCGAAATGAAGCCAGTCCAGGACTGGAACTGAGGGACCAGTTGGTCAGATGACTCCCGGCAAAAGGAGGCAGCAGGAACAGTAAGAGACAGACAGAACCAAGACGTCCACGGCCACCAACTTACAGACGCACTGTGGGCACATACAGCCATGTGGGGCCTTGGTCCAGTCCTGGTCTGGCCTGGGGGTATCCAGACACAGGGCCTTCGCCCCTTCACAGCCAGTTCTGGCATGAGGCTGACCCCACACTCTAGGCCGGATCTGGCCCCTTGATTGTGCTATCACCGCCCATGGAGCTGGCCTCTTTGCTACTTCCAGTCAAGCTATGGAGGTGGCCAATGCCATGGTCCCCCAGTGGGCCTGCCCAATGGTAGCGTACTTGCAGGCCAGCAGCGTCACCCTGTCCAGGGTAATGTGCTAGGCCCACCTATGGCCTTCCTTGGGTCATTCCAGTGGGAGCCCTGGCGGACAGGCTGCAGTGGGGGCACTGGCAGGCCCTAAACCGGTAGTGGAGAGAAGGCCACAGGGCAGGGCTTCCAGCACGAAGACCTTCCCAGCAAACAGCCCAGGAAGCTCTTGGGACCCACAGGCAGGACGAATCCCAGGCTTTGTGCACCGCTCTGGGCTGGCACTGCCCAGGTGAGCACCCAGGGACTGGATGACTTGCTGCTCCACATGCTGGCTTAGCAGCCTGCTGTGCCGACCACTAAGGTGAGAAAAACCAACCTAGCGCCTGTGCACTCACGGGCCCGTGTGTGCCCACCACCTGGGGGCAGGCCGGGTCCTTAGCCCAGGCCCCGGAAGGCATCTCTTGGTGGTCGCTGACATTGACGAGGCAGAGCCTCCCCCAGACAAGAGCGTGGCTCACAGTCATGGATACAGGTGAAGGCCACCCTGCTCTTCCTCTCCTCCCCGCCCCGGCACGGGAGGAAGCAGAAGGGACACAGCCCCAGGGTGCCCAGGGCATCACAGCAGCCCAGGAGCCTGCTCAACTCTGTAGCACTTCTTGGAAGCACACACGGCAGGCAGAGCTGCCCGGGGCAAGCAGGCTGGGAGGGGATCCAGGTGAGAGACTGATGGCCCCAGGTGTCAAAGGGAAAGTGGCCTGTAGTAGCAGGTACCATTGTTCTGAGGGATTCAAACGACATTTATCCGTTTATTTATTTTTAAAGATTTCTTCCTTTTTTATTGGAAGGATAGAGAGATGAGACAGAAAGATCTTCCATTTGTTGGTTCACTCTCCAAATGGCTGCTGTGGCTAAGGCCAAGCCAGGAGCCAGGAGCCAGGAGTTCCATCTTGGTCCCCCAGGTGGGTGCAGGCCTCATGGCTTGGGACACCCCAGGCATTGCTTTCCCAGGCATTAGCAGGCAGCTGGATAGAAAGTAGAGCAGCTAGGACTAGAACCAGTGCCCACATGAGATGCCAGCATTGAGAGACAGGTACTGCAGTGCAGCGAGTTAACCTGCTGCTGGGGACACCTGTACCCCATGTGAGAGCACAGGGTCGAGACCTGGCCAATCTGCTTCAATCCAGTAACGAATCCTGGTGGGCAGCGGGTGATGGGCCAAGCACTGGCTTGCCCATGAGGCCCTGTGTCCAGGTGCCATGCATGCCTGTGGATGCCCTGTGAGCCTGGGAGGCTGCAGGGATGCCAGCTGGCTCCCTAGGTGTGGCTCTCAAGGGCAGCCGAGTGCCAGAGATGGGCAATGTGCTTCTCTCAGCACAAGCAGTGGCTAACAGAAAGACAGGACTCAGAGAGAGCAGACTGGCTGTAGCCAACACTTAGACAAATCGACCCTGAGTACCACCCCACGCCCGGCTCGGAGATGGACTCTGCAGCTGGGCTTCTCTCAGTGCCAGCATCCCTCATACGTACCACCCACTGGGCTGGCACACAGCTGGCCATTCTGCCCTGCTGACCAGTACAGTAGCCATCCTTTGCCTTACACTTCTCTTACTTGCTTGCCAGCACAACTTCAGACTGACCAAGCAGCCGTGTGCCTAACCCTCCCACAGGGCTGGGGGCAGTGCTGGACAGCTGTGCTCCAAGGCCTCTGCAGGGCCGGTGCACAGCAGGCCCGTGCAAGGCCTTCCTGGCCGCTCCCCAGCAGCACCAGGCGGGACTCCGATCTGACACCTGTCCACACGGCGTGTCTGTCACCTTTGCTGTGCTCTTGGGGAAAGGTTACTGTGAACACACACGGAAGGCAGGTGCACTTGTGAAGAGCTCTCCAAGCTTATAAGGCTGCCAAGGGCCAGGGGAGCAGAACGGGCACTGCCCAGCCAGGGCCAGCCCTGACACCCTCCGTGTGCAAGCTGCAGTGGCAGCATCTCCTTGGGTGCTTTTCCCGAGATGAGCATGGGGCAGGCCTAGGTGGCCCCTCATGCGGTGCTGGGCAGCATGGAGAAAGCCAGCCAGGAGTTCTGGCCAGGTGCCATCTGGCTGTGGCTTTCATGGAAAACACAAGACTGAAACCACTCTCGGCGAGGTCAAGGTTCCTGAGCAATCGCCCTAGGAAAGGGAGACGACAGGGCCCAGCCCCCAACCTGAGCCCGAGACGGCTCCACTGCCAAGGCCAGGGAAGTCAAGTCCCTGAGGACCAGGCCAGCACAGGCCACAGGGCCATGACACAGCTGAAGGTCCCTTCTCTGTGCTCCCTGTCCCGGCACTGCCCGCACTCTCCTGCTCACCCTCCACCCCTATATGCTCGTGCCGCGCACACACACTGCCTCTTTCTCAGCTCCTCCTGTAAGGCTTTTCCTTGTAAGCAGGAACGACACTCCCCACCCTGTAAGAACATCAATGACATTCCTGGGCCCGGCGTGACAGCCTAGCAGGTAAAGTCCGTGACCGCACTGGGATCCCATATGGGCGCTGGTTCTAAACCCAGCTGTCCCACTTCCCATCCAGCTCCCTGCCTGTGGCCTGGGAAAGCAGTGGAGGACGGCCCAAGGCCTTTGAACCCTGAACCCATGTGGGAGACCGGAAGAGCTCCTGGCTTTGGATTGGCTCAGCTTCAGCCATTGCAGCCACTTGGGGAGCGAACCATCGGATGGAAGATCTTCCTGTCTCTCCTTCTCTCTGTATATCTACCTTTCCAATAAAAATAAAGAGATCTTAAAAACAAGAAAAGATGACACTCCCCTTTCTTCCCAGAAACCCACTCTGTACCACCGGCCCTGCTGCAGGCGTGGGCAGGGCTTCCTCCGTGTTCAAGTCACAGAACCATAGCAAAGCCACCTGTGGCAGGCACAGGCTGTTCCAGGCACGTCCCATGCAGGAGACCCAGGCAGGCGGACGTTCCACGGGGTGGCAGTGGTGGTTCTGGTTGTGGTGGTGGGTGTGTGGCTGCTGGTAGCGGTGTGGTTGTTGTAGGTGTGTGGCTGGTGGTAACATGCAGTTGTAGTGGTGGGTGTGTGGCTGGTGGTAGCAATGTGGTTGTGGTGGTGGGTGTGTGGCTGGTGGTAGCGGTGTGGTTGTGGTGGTGGGTGTGTGGCTGGCATTAACATGCAGTTGTGGTGGTGGGTGTGTGGGTGGTGGTAACGGTGTGGTTGTTGTGGGTGTGTGGCTGGTGGTTCTGGTTTGGTGGTGGGTGTGTGGCTGGTGGTAGCGGTGTGGTTGTGGTGGTGGGTGTGTGGCCGGTGGTAACGGTGTTGCTGCTGTTCTCACAGTAAGACTCTCGAGACAATGCTTCCTCCCTGGCCTACCATTCTCACCAGCCAGTCTCATGGACACAGCTCGAGGCCCTCTGCCCACACTGCTGTATGCAGACGTGGAAGCATGGCACCTGGCTCCAGGGCTGCAGGCACATCAGATGACAGTGCAGCCCGACTGGCACGAACTGCGGCCTGAGTTGGAACCACCAGCTGACGATGTGGTTGGAGGCCACGGACAGCTGGGGCACATCATGCTACAGCACCTGGCTACTTAGAAAGTGGCGCGGGGACCTTCATTTCATCGCGTGTGGCTCTGGGGACTCCATCCCGTGTGGACCAGGGAGGCTGGGCTGTGACCCAGTGTCAGCTGCTCACGGACAACGCCTCACTGCGCAGCTAACACACCCTCCCTGGCAGTTTCATCATAGAACCCAGGATTCAACAAAATGTGTGTAGGGAGCAGGCAGCAGAACCAGTTATGAATGTTTCTGACACTTTGTTTAAATGAAAATACTCTTCTAATTACAAAAGGTCAGTGGGGAGAGAGCCACAACATACAGGAAAGTCAAGCAAGAAGCAGGGATGGGGGACGCGTGTCCCCAACTCCAGCTGACGGTCAAGGAAGAAGCAGGGACGGGGGACGCGTGTCCCCAGCTCCAGCTGACAGTCAAGGAAGAAGCAGGGACGGGGAACGCGTGTCCCCAGCTCCAGCTGACGGTCAAGGAAGAAGCAGGGACAGGGGGACGCGTGTCCCCAGCTCCAGCTGACGGTCAAGGAAGAAGCAGGGACAGGGGACTCGTGTCCCCAGCTCCAGCTGACGGTCAAGGAAGAAGCAGGGACAGGGGGATGCGTGTCCCCAGCTCCAGCTGACAGTCAAGGAAGAAGCAGGGACGGGGGACGCGTGTTCCCAGCTCCAGCTGACAGTCAAGGAAGAAGCAGGGACAGGGGGACGCGTGTCCCCAGCTCCAGCTGACGGTCAAGGAAGAAGCAGGGACAGGGGGGCACGTGCCTCCCCCCCGCCCCCGCTGACTCCTGGGAACTCTTCTCGCTGCCCATGCATGGAAGGCCAGACTTCAGGTTCAGGACAGAGTGAAACCCACAGCTTATCTTGGCCCGTGCAAAGGCCCCCATGCAGCTGATTCAGGACAAGCTTCCTGACCCACAGGCTTGCAGCTAACCCGGAGGGGCTGCCTCCCTTGAGACCCCACTCCACTTGGCTGCAGCCGCTGCAGGAGGACACGGCCAGGCAGCGGTGGACTGACCTTCATGTGCTCGTGTAGCTGGGCCTCGTGCTGCCGTGACAGCTGCTCGTGCTGCCGCTGGAACTCGGCGATGAGGACCTGTCTCTGCAGCTGCTGCTGCTGCTTCAGCGCAAGGAGCTCCTGCTGCAGCCGCTGCTCCCGCAGTGCAGGCTCGGCCACGGGCAGCACAAATGGGTGGTCCAGGCGCAGGTCCATGGGCACGGCTGAGGGGGCCACCTGCAGGGGCAGAGCCGCGGCCACGTCCACTGCAGAGAGAGCAGAGCAGAGTCACTGATGGGCATGGCTGGCTGGGCTCCTACCCGCCCGCAGCCCTCCCCAGGCCCGCTGGCTGCCGTCCAGGGAGGCCCTGGGTGGTGGGGCCTGTGACGCGCACCCCGTAAGCAGGCCGTAAGCATGGCACTTGTGTGCTCCAGTGCGGAAGGTCAGGCCGGGGACGCAGGGCCTCTCTCTGACCCTCCCTCAAAGGCCCCTGAAGGCCCAAAGGCTTTGCTGACGTCATTCTGAAGTCAGGCAAGTGAGAAACAAAGAGAAAGGACCAGGCCAGCCGTGCAGAAGGCTGAGGTCGGAACTCCAGGCCCGCTGGCCTGGCCTGCTCCTCCTCACCCCTCGCAGCCACTTGAGAGCTGTATGAGCCACAAGAGTGAGCGCCAGAGGAGTGGTTGGACAGGCGCACGAGGCAGAGGCCATGTCCGTGGACAGCAAGTGACCTCCCGGAAGCCTGTTTACACACTACGGCCAGTGACAGCTCCTGGCTGGGCCGCACTGATGGACACCCACAACAGGCTCTGATTCTGGCCAGAGCAGACACAAAACCCATCCTGACCCTCAGGATCGGCACCCGGGAAGGGAGAAAGAATGCGCAGTGGTGAGCTAAAACGTTCCAAGCTCAGAACCCCTGCCTCGTGGCCTCCTTCCAGACCTCCCAGCTCCTGAGAGAGCCCACTTCTGACCAGCTTCACCCCCAGTCAGGCCCCCACATGTGCCCCAGGGGCACGCCATCTGTCACACAGACACCACACACTGTTTCCTGTCTCCCACAGCAATCAGCTCACTGCCTAGTCCACACAGTCACCACCATGCCATGTCACACAGCACCTGCCACCTGCTACACTCCCAGGCAACAGTCACCATCACGCCTTGTCGCACAGCACCTGTCACACACAGGACACTGCTACCTGTCATGAGTATGCTTTGTCACACACTACCGGTGAAGACACACTCACCCATCACACCTATCAGCCATCAACCACTACTTGCCACCTGTCACACATCTCACTGGCTGTACATGTGACACTGCAGACATGATGAGGCCTGGAGGCTGGCACCCTTCTACATGGTCACACATGAGGCCAAGGCAGAGGGAGGAGGCACGGCCTTGGCTTTGCTCGCTGACTCCTAGACAGTGTCCCTGTGGCTCGAAGCCCGACCCCAATTCACAGACACTGGGTGTACAAGCCAGATGGCCTCAGACCAAGCCCCAACCTGAATCTCGTTTCTGGGAAAATTACACTTCCCAGCCTCCAGCCTGCTGACTCAGGTACTAAGGCTCTGGCACACTGCTGTTGAGGCCAGTGTCCGTGCAGAGGGCCAGAGTTGGCCTCGGGCTGTGGCCTTCTGCTCCAATCGTGGACCTGCCAGCCCCAACCTCTCTGGGAGCCTCGGGTCTCCTGGCGGAGGGCAGCCACTGTGCCCACAGACCTGGGCACAGAGGCAAGCTGCTCAGCATGGGAAGCTCCTGGGTTCCTGAGGCCTGATGTCACCATGACCCCATCACTGCATTGCTGACCTGGCTCCTGACTTGTCGTGCCACGGCCCCTGGATCCAGAGTAAGCTGGGCTGGCAGAGCCCACAAGTTGGGCCAAGCTTGGCTTCCAGAGGTGGTGGGCCCTTGGGTCACATGAGGGGGCTGGCTCCTTCCTTGGGTGGCCAAGGGGTTCTTGACTGCCAGTCAACACTGCCCACATGGCTGGAAGAAAGGCAGTCAGCTGCGTGGAGCAGGTGTGACCGAGAGCAAAGCAGTCTGAGTGTCTATGTCCCTCGCTAGCCGCTGTCCCACACAGACGGCGGTCTCTCCTCCTCTGGTCACATGTGACAGGCACAGCAGCCCAGCCCCAGGATAGTCATGGGCAGAGAGAGCAGGAGACACCCGGCGGCTGGGCCCACAGCCGCCGCGCCCCCTCCTCTGCCCACACCGAAGGGCCCGGAGATGGTCCCTGCTGGCCTGTCAGCAAGGACAGCACGGTCCTTCCAGGGGCGTACACAGCAGTGACGAGGTGTGCATGGTGTCAGGGTGGGGCCATGGGGCCATCCTGTTCCTGTCTGGTGGCTCAGGGAGGTCTCTCTGTAGGCCAATCAGCATGCACGACCCATAAGGGAGTTCACTGCCTTCTCAAGCAAGACCCCACTCAGCGAGGATGTGCCTAGGTGACCAAAGGCCTCACCTAGAGACCCCCTGCTAGCCCAGCACCACGCAGCTCCACGTCACAAAAGCACCTTGCACTCGGTCCCTTTACCCACACAGCCTGGCCACAGCCCCACACAGGCCCTGCCGGGACGGTCTCAGCTCAGCTAGGGGAGGTCCTGGGCAGGGGTCTGGATTGCAAGTGGAGCAGCCAGGACCTAAACCAGTGCTCCCACAGGGTACCAGCGTCAGATGGCAGCTTAACATATGGTGCCATTCCTAAATACTAACTTTCAACATGTTTTGGAGACTCGTTGAGGCTCCCTGAGTAGGCGGACATTTCTGCCTCTGAGGAATCTGCATGGCACAACCTGGGAGCCCTGAGCTCTTGGTGTGCGCCCCGTCAACAGGTGGGCACAGCTCTGTCCAGGTCTCTGCCCACATAGACCCCACCTGCCCTGACACAGACCCCGCCTCTGGCTCCAAAACAGTGGGGAGCCTCCAACCCCCGCCACCAAAGTCCCTTTGCGGCCTGCAGACATGCCCACACGGCCTGCACGACCCATGCTGGCCTCTCTGGGCTGCAGCGGGATAGCCGTGCCATTCTGAGTATGCCGTGTGCAAAAGAAACAACGTCAAACTCCACGCCACGTGTAAACCAGAGTATGTACTCACACAGAAGTGCTGCACACTGAGGGCTGCTCACCGTGCCTCCCCAGCCCCAAGTCCACGTGGGCAGCGGGAGGCTCCTCCTGCCCAGCCCCAAGTCCATGTGGTCAGTGGGAGGCTCCTCCTGCCCAGCCTAGTGGCAGAGCCCAAGCTCCCGCTGAGTGCTTGAGCAGCACAGGCGTGTGTCAGCTTCCAGGCAGGAGTGAGCACAAGGGCTGGGGACAGCAGGGAGGGGCCGCTTCCTTTGGCCTCTAGACTCGCAGGGACACCAAGGGACAAGTGTGTGGCTTCAGGTTGGCTCGAAGGGGAGCAGCCCTGCAGTGCAGCTCCAGCACCCGGCATGACCTGGGTGGCCCAACAGGAAGCAGCTGTGCCTGCTGCTGGGGCAGAGGCGTGAAGCCTCCGCACGGCCCAGGGCCAGCACGGGGTAAGCTCTGCCTTACCATGCCAAGGAACATGCCACACTTTCTTCACCGGAGGAAGCAGAAAGCAGCACCGAGGAAATTCCAGGTGACCCAACCTGCCGATACCACTATATCTGCAGGCCCAGAGTTCAGGGACCCCGGGGTGCAGGCTTCTCGCGCCTCAGGAGGCCAGTGGAAGCCCTGAGTGGGAGCTGGGGCCATGCTGTGTCCGCAGGCGAGGACCAGTCACCACTCTGGCTGGGCACAGTGCGTCACGATGTGGCTATTCCTGTATCAGAAACCCAGGAGATGCCACGGGGTCCGTGGAGGCTCCCGGCACCTTTGACCTGGGGTGCCCCAAGGAAAACAATCAAACCTTCTCTACTCCGGCCCGCAGCATGCAAACAAAGATGCCTGTATTCTCATGAGTGTTGTGCGGGAGACTAAGAAGCTGCTGCTATAGGTTGTGCCTCGAGAGCCTGACTAATGCCAGCGGCTCGTGACGCCAGCGCCAGCACAAGGGGCACATTGAGGCTCCGCCAAGAGCAAGGCCGGGCTGAGGAGGAGTGCAATCACAAACAGAAACTGCCAGCCGCCCCAGCCTCTCCCACAGCCACTGCCAGGGAGAAGGTCGGCTCCCTGTGACTCCAACGCAGCCCCTTTGGCACGACACCATCTCACGGCCCACACAGACAGGGACCACAGTGGCACTGCCCGTAGCGGTCAGCGACCCTTTCAGAGAACGTGACTCAGAGCGAGAGCATAACAGAGGCGTCTCTGACTCACGGAAACAATAGGTATCACAAGCCAAGACCACGGCACTCGGCACATCTGGGGGCGGGGGGGGGGGGCGCGAGTACTGGAACCTGCTGGAACACTGCCCATCTGTGCAAATCAACCCAGGCTGAGGAACACTTGTGGGGATCAAGGACGCTAGTGAGACCCACCTGGGGCAGCCCTCCCCGCCCTCTCATGGCTCTGTGGGCTGAGCGTGCTGGAGCCCTGGCGTCTGCAATAGATCAAGGCGACACCCAGATCCTGGGTTCTCCACTGGGGCATCCATACCGACCAGCATGGGTGCCCAACAGCCATGGGGCAGGAGCCAGGGCCGCCTCCATATCTCAGCGCCAGCTAGCTGGGAGGTCCACAGGAAGGAGTGTCACCAGAGGGGCAGCAGGCATCGCGTGTTCAGGTGACTGAGACACACCTGTGCAATGTGATCACAGGCAGTGTCCTGGGGCCAGCTCCTGCACCTGCTCCCAAGGGCTCTGGGGGCCTCCTCTGGCTCGTTCCCCTGTCTCCTCACGGATGTGCACAATCCTGCACCTGCCCTTCAGGTGGCTGTGGCTGAAGGTGTCTGACTCACCTCCTGCAGCAAAAAGAGATGCTGCCAGTGGGGAGGCAGCCGTTAGTGTCTTCCTCCCGACAACCTGCAGGATTCCTGCCGGGCACTGCGCTCACTGTCCCGACAACCTGCAGGATTCCTGCTGGGCACTGCGCTCACTGTCCCGACAGCCTGCAGGATTCCTGCCGGGCACTGCGCTCACTGTCCCGTCAACCTGCAGGATTCCTGCTGGGCACTGCGCTCACTGTCCCGTCAACCTGCAGGATTCCTGCCGGGCACTGCACTGTCCCGTCAGCCTGCAGGATTCCTGCTGGGCACTGCGCTCACTGTCCCGTCAGCCTGCAGGATTCCTGCCGGGCACTGCGCTCACTGTCCCGTCAGCCTGCAGGATTCCTGCCGGGCACTGCACTGCCCCCTTGCTCCTGA